TCCCACACAGACAACTATTTGTGTGCCCAACAAATAATTGTTTCGAATCTTTCGAAGATGCGTTAAACGTCCTTAGAACACAGGATAATGTTATCCTACTATAAGTACAATGTTTATTTCAAAAAACAAATCACTTTATAATATAAAAATATGTTCGAAACACGCACGAGAATTTTCCCAACACAAATTCTTTAGGAACCCTAAATACCAGGAGGTCATTATCATTACTCAAAAGGAAGTGACTAACGTACGGTGTTGTGTTACATAGTTAACGAGTTAGTTAGCTGTAATTAATTTTATGAACGCTTTAATTGCCTCTGGTCTGGCCGCACGGATGACATGAGCTACGTCATATCGCGGAGCTGGTGATGTGACCCAGGCTAACTGGCAAAAGAAACTAAATAAAGTAAGAGATCGTCTACTTCAATTTTCTGCTATGCACAGATACTTTGTAGAACCAGTTGTCACCAGCTGTATTTCCGGACCAATGTGACTTAGGGTTTAATTTTCTGACACGCAGATATACCTACTTTGTGGAACCAGTTGTCGCCAGCTGTAGTTCCAGACCGATAGGACTTAGGGACCATCAAGAGGAGAGCCTACTCCTACCTTAAAGACCGGCATAGCAGTTTCGATCTCCCATGTTTCAAGTGTCCATGGGCGGCGAAGATCACTTACCCTAAGGTGTTTTGAGCATTATCTTAGGGGCCAATCCATCCAGAAGCCCCCTTTACCAAATTAAAATATATACATTTTCCGATAAGCTCGTGCCTTTGTGATACATTGCCTTGGTTTCGAACCCTGAGCAATAAACATTTGCGAAGCGTGCATTCTCTGTTTTAAACTGGCTACTGGTTGATTTTATTTCTAGTTGACTGTCAGCGATGGTAAAGGTTTAGGTGATAACGCTTGCTCCTTAGGTATAAACTCTTGCCTTGAAAATGTTGGTTATCGAACATATATACGGATGTTGGTAAATAACTTTCTTGTATTTGTTTTTTTTTAACTTGAGAAGGTTGCTAGCGAGCTGGCGGTTCACCTGATGTGACGACAACCGCCGCCCATGGACATTTGAAAAACCCCTAGGGTTGCAGATGCGTTGCCAGATTTAAATAAAGTGGGCGGTTATCTCTTTTTTTTAACGCAGCTTTTGTTAACTCAGCGGACGAAACGCAGAAGTATAACACTTCCAATTCACGCCGGTCTTCTGTGAGGTCCTGCTACTTCCCCGAATGAACTGCCCATTCATGCAACAGCGAATACTGTTGCGTGGCCCCTGTTAAAGCTGCTGCAAATCAATCCCCCCCCCCCCCCCCCCCCCTTAAGCGGCATCCCAAGTTATACCTTATACCTCCTATGCTTTCAAGTATTACCTTTGTTATTATTATATCATGAACTTATAGGAACTTTCCTTTCTCATTCATGGTATACATCATTATACTGGCCGCATATCATGTCTTTCTAATGAGCGGGCCTAACTTCAACCGTTAGATAACATTATCCTACAAATGGGACTGCGGCAATAAAACAATTTGACATCAGTAAAACGAGTTCTTTTCGGATAGCAAACGGACACTATTCACTTTAAATCATACGCGGAATATACAACAGAGTAGAGAAAGTTCTCGAAAACGTACCGAAAGTGTTGAATACCGAAACCAGTACCGATGCAATCTCTAACGTCACTCGTTTCACAGCAAGCACTTCAAATCAAAAGCTAAACAAAACATCTTTGCGGTGAGACCAACGCTACGAGGTGCTGAAGAGGTGCGTTTTAACAACAGTAACCTCCTTTTTCTTGAACAAAAATAGACCGCTGAGAGAAGTCAATTCTCAATTTATTGTTTTTAAATAAAAACTGAAAATATTTTTCACATGTTCACAAAGGTAAAATAATCTTTTTTACTCGGGCACGTGTATGAGTGATTTGATTGGTGCACTTTCAAAGCTATTTTCCGCAGGCCATGAGTTTGATTCACACACGGGTCAGTATCTGTGACTCTGAAAGATACCTTTTCCGCATCTAGGTTCATGTAAAATTCAGAATACCTGATAAAGCGCAGGTCAATATTATGGCCTTTTTATTTACGCGGGCCAAATCACCACGATCTTCAACCCAGGGTTTATATGGCAGGGTCGAACGCTTTCGCGTATTAATATGTGGTAGGGTCACGCAACAGTCTTCGCTGTTTCACGAATGAGCAGGTCCGTCCAGGAAAGTACCACGAACTCGCAGAAGACCGGTGTGAAGTTGAAACGTTGTACTTCTGCGTTTCGTCTGGTGAGTACGATTACCGCGGCCCACTTTATCAAAATATGGCAACGCAATTGTATCCTACGAGTGTTGCAAATGTCCATGGGTGGTGGTTTTCATTTAACGTCAGGGAACCACCAGCGCGCTTGCCATATCCTTACATAAAGAAAAAAAACATTGGCCGCCTCGTCAATTCCTATTCTTGCTTCTTTTGTACTACTTCTGTTTCCTCGTCATTACATTGTATGGCTTACAGTAAGCACTGTGCTTTTAATGATACAAAAATTGATATATTTTTATATTTTATGAATATATGTTTAAGTAATTATATAGTAATACATATAAATATTTTAATGTAATAATTGCACCTACCACGATTTTTCACCACGCCCCGGGTTGACTGGGAGAGAATGCCAAAAGCCATTAAGTTCACCCTTTGTAATCCTTTTTATTTAAAGGTCGGAATAAAGTATAAATAAATAAATAGTGATCATCATCCATATATAAAGATTCAAAAACGTAATAAATATCTAATTATAAGATGTAATCATACTATTGTAGGCCAATAAACATCCAACTAACGGTGAGTTTACCCACCGTCATAAAACACGGCCAGACATGAATACATAATAATCAAGGCCCCGAAGGGGAGGAAAAAAAACGAAAACGCGTAATGATGCCGTCTAGCCGCCACTCGCGCTGAACAAAAAAGCCAACCGCCACGAAATTGATGAGTTTCTCTACCGAACTCCTCCACCTAGTACCTCCTTAATTCGATATAAAACGCCCGCCTTTAAAGTCGACAGTCTGCCGCAGAAAGTGGGCCAAGTCAATTTGTGATGTGATTTTCCCTCGCTTCTTTTTTTTCCATTCCACCGGCAAATCTACAGTGACTCAGCGTCTGTTCAGCCAGGCGGGCTATTCTGAGACGTCAGAATATCTCTCCTCATACGCGATATACTGTTAGAAAGCGACGAAGATACGATCCACATTGAGACGGAGAATCGTCTATGTTTGTTCTTTGCGACGTCAATATCAATTGTACTCGTATTTAAGAAAATCTTATTCACATTTGGAATTGCAATACTTCATCTGTGAAAATTTCACTGTCTGACTATCACGGTTCATGAGATACAGCCTGGTGACAGACGGACAGACAGCGGAGTCGTAGTAATAGGGTCCCATTTTACCCTATACATAGGGATAGGAGTTCACATCTCATTTTTATACCGAAGTGAGCAATCAATGGACTATGCAAATAAACTGCAAAATATACTCCGATTACGACAAAACCTACACCGTTGCCGCATTGACCTTTTTTAAAACGTGCTTTATCTGTTATGCATTGCCTTTTACACATTTTAAATACGCGGTAACGCGAATTCAACGTTTTTGACAAATACAATCCTTTTCGAAATGCTCAGTTCAGTTAGACATAGAGACGTGTACGCAAAATTAAATCTTATCGCCATGAGAAAGGGCATAATATCGCGTGTCTAATTTCTGAAAGTTTGTATACGGTAAAGACCAAGTTTATTTGAGAAAAGCCACCAATTTGTCGACGTGGGGCGGCCGAGAAAGCGGCAGTCCGCTCGGAAATCCGATCGCTCAATAAATGTCCCTCTTTACGAGGCCTAGTTAATTGCGTGTTACCGAGCTTTAATTCCACCAAATTACAGTTATCTTGGGACATTAACGAAGTGGATTTTTTTCTCTGCCGGCGGCGATAAATATAGGAATGGGAGAGATAAAAAAATGCCTTGATTTATTAGGCTGGACAACACTTAAGCGAGTAACTTTAGAGATGTCTTTAATGCCTCCCGCACACCGTCGGCGAATTATTAGGAAGGTATGTTTAAACATAACTCGTTATGTTGCTGAACTTGCTGAGACATATGTTCTAGAGATTAATGGTTTTTTTTACAAAGGCTTTAATAATTTCACGACTATAGTATTAGGTGCCTCAGGATCGTGCTTCGCGGAAGTTAGTGGGGAAGGCCTATGTTTAGCAGTGCACTCAAACAGGCTGAAGTGATGTTGATGATGGTCAATATCATTCTTAAAAAAAACATTAGGCGTGCTTAAACAGTGGCACTTATTGATTCCTTGCATGATTAATTAAATCGAAACAAGAAACTAAAATAGGTACATTAAAATAAAGCTCAATTACTATGACCATTCCTAGATCTCAATTCCAAAGGAGTAAGCTAATGAGTTTTCTCTTTTAAAATCTTATCTGACATTTGATAGTTCTAGGAATTCTACCTGTTTGATAGTTTTAGTGTCTAACGCGCAAAATAAGGCACTGGAATGCCGTATTTATCTACAATTATAAGGGATTAAGTAATTCTTTCTCCTAATAAAGAAAGAAACAGAACGCCTAATTTGAAATCTAGTACTAGAAAACGTCAAGCGTCATGTGGTACCCAAAATTTCGTTTCACGGAGTGTAACAGAGATTCGAGAGTCATAACCACTGGCGCTTGCGAACCGACTCCAGTATTTCACTGTCACAATCAATAACTGTAGAAAGGGCCCATAATTCCGTAAAGGTCAATAAATGAAAGTGCCGCTTGCCGCATGATGGGCGACGCGGGCCCCCTTAACGTGTCCATTAAATTGATACGTAATGTGCAATTCTAGCAGAACTACTTTCAGGTGTCGTTTTTTAATTTATCTCGCTTCGACTTGTATGTAGATTGGACTGAGATTCTGTTAATGGACTGTGTGATATAAGAAGGTGCAAAATGACTGATGAAATGTCGTCGGGTGAACCGTTGAAGGGTGAGATTGTAATAAATAAAAAAACACATTGTTAATAAATATAAGTCATGGATTTTAATTCTTACGGTAGAATTAAAACCCCCTTGATTATTTAACAAACTTTTTAATAATTTATTTATTATATATATATATATATAAATATTAAAAACTAAGCAAAGCTTGTACTATGGGTACTAGAAAACTGATAAACATACTTAAACATACTTTTCTTTTGTAAATAAATACATATTATACATATAGAAACACCCAGACGCTAGAAAAACACCATGTTCATCACACAATATTTTTCCAGTAGTGGGGATCGAACCCACACCCTCTGGCGCAGGAGGCAGATACACTACCCACTACACCATTCGGGTCGTCAAATTACAGTATATTTTTTATATTTTTACAGTAACTACTGCGCAGTAGGAGCATATAGTGTTTTGAGGTATTACAGTACCTGTTGTGTTTGGATTTATTTTAAAAAGTATTGAATTAAAAGCTAATGGTAAAGCTCAACCATTTTGCATATTGAGCATATAGAAGAATGTTTTTTTAATATTTTAATAGCCTCGGGAATCATCCTTGGAAGGAGTCTGTGTTCTTTTGGGAGGAATTTTGGTTCGTCATATTATATATGTATAATTGTTGGTGCCGTCTATTGTGTGATCACAAACGGTAGATTTCTTCAACCGGCGGTAAAAAACATTCGCGTGAACACAAGAAGTCATAACAAATCAAGCCGAAATATAGTATCTGTGCCTATATATTATGTTACGTGAACATAAGTGTACGTAAAGTATACACAACTAATAAAACCGTGAAAACAATCGACGGATCACTTGATTAAATTGCTTCAACTTAACTTATATTTTAAACAAAAATAATAATCTATGAATGCATTCCCGATATTATCCAAATACCAACAAACCATGAAATAAATGTTACCCGCAGATCCGTTTTAAAACATATCTATTTAAGTACACACCGTTCAGCAGCGAGGTCTGTATTTATCACCTGTCAGTTCGTTCAAAATAAGCTCTGGTGAAAGTGGGCAAAGGATTTTGCAATTTTAATGATAAAAAAAAGTCAGGCTCTTAAATGTTAATCAGAAGGCGGAGACAAACGGTGATAGTTTGATAGACAACACTATTGTTCACACTTTGGATAAGTAAGTAGAAGTATAAGAATTGAATAAGACCTCTCAAGTAACATAATAGAAATTTCCATCACGGAAACTGATTAAAATGTTATAGAGATAATTTGGTTTCTCGGAGTGAAAAAATTATTATAAGTTTAAAGGTTGCCGTGACTACGACATTTTGGACGAAAAAACATCTCAATCTCTCTCGTCACCATGTACATGTCACATGTACGAAACTTCGGGAATTAAAAGCGAAAATGTCCATGAATATTCGATTGTGATTAGTTTTATTGAACAATGCTGTATTATACGCGAAACTCTAGAAATCATTATTTTCGTATTCTCCATTTTCACAAACTTAAGTTTGTTTAAATTCATTTAAAGTAACATGCCGATACAGTAGTTACATGTTAAGTGGTGATTTACAACTGGCTCTGTTAACATAACAAGGAAAATAGCTGCATACTAAGATCTGTTAAAATGCACACACCCGAATACAATATACCCCTTAATCAGCAGAGTGGGAATATATTTGGCCTGTTTTAAAAACTTAGTATCTTTTATCACGCAAACATAATTGACAGGCAAATTTGTTGTTTAATGCGATGTTAACATTAGTCTCAGATAAATTAGTTGTATCCGTTACTTTATCCTTGCCAACTTGATTGGTACGTATGTTAATTACGTGTAAAGCATTCAAGTAATGCGCTAATAATGCTTATCGCATAAATAAATAACGTAAACCGTTAGCTAATAAGTAACACGAAATAAAACATTACAATGAATCAACAAGCGTTTTCTGTTTTCATTAAAGTTATGTATATAATAATATAGTTATAGAATATATTATATAGATAGAAGACCGTGCTGGTCTCTGTGATGTCTCATATTCATGGTCATTCTTCCATTGCTTTAAGTGAAACTTAGATAACTCATTAATTTAAATAGTTGTTTTCTTGTTTTATAATTATTAATTAATTTTTACTGGTACTGAGTTTGCATGTGATTCTAGGAATCTTCTCCATTGATCAGGTACAAAAAATATCCGATGTGAAATGAATTTAGGACGTCGCAACTGTTACCGATTAATAATTTGTAAAAGAAACCTAAAAAAAATCAAGTAAATTTCTAAGAGAAAATAAAATGTATTAATGATATTTGATTTAAGAGAAAAACTTGACATTTAGGATCTCCCACCTGCTGCACAGGTTCCTGCACTTTTTCGCAGCACGTTTAACTTTGATTTAGTGCGTTTAAAAGGCTTTAGCGTACGGCGGTCGTAACGGCGGCCGATAAATCAGACGTTTATGCAAAATCAGCTATAGCAATAAAAGGGGATTTTAATTATTGGAAATTCCCTTTGTGGGCCAACGAGTTCTTTTTATAGTCCCATTAAGGGTTTTATAATCAGTGATGACCTAGTGGACGTCGGCTACTCAATTTTAGCCTTGAATTCGTATCCCAGTAGCATATCTTATATACGACGGATAGCTAAAATATTGCTATAAATGCCTGTCCTGTTGAAGGATTAAAAGGTGTGAGCTACTTGTTAATACTTTATCCCTGTGCATATCTGTGGTTAATTTAACGGAAGTTACGTCTTATGAATACGTTTCAAGTTTCAGTTTTCTGGCAGTATTAGGCCTCACCAGTTATCAACACTCATTAATTATCAGACATCCATTCCTTCCTCAGCTTTATTACATATCGTCTCCTTCGAGAAAGATAGAAAACCTATTATTACCTAACGTCGTAAAGGCAATCTTTTTTACTTTTTATTCGAATACAACCAACTCCGAGTCTTGATTATATTATCTCTCTAATTTGTTCCGCGGTTTGTCCAATGAACACTAAAGCCTCATAAAAAAGGACCACTAAGGGTTATCACCATTAAAGTCCGCTTTTAATTTACCACATACGTCTGGCTGTGTCATTAAATTGCTCGTTTGTGCTTAATTAGTTATTTGAAAAAATAAAAACAAAACGTTTCGGTTTATATTTATGTTAAGTGTCAAAAATTTACGATGTGTTCATTGTTTCAGACCTAGCCGCGCTGAGACAGCTGCTCGAGAACGAGACAGGCGGCACATCATGTCCCAGTTGCAACATGCCCTTCGACAAGGGCAAAAAGAGGAAGCTCATCGACACCTGCGGGCATGAGCGCTGCTACGCCTGCATGTTCAGGAACGAAGCGTGCCCCATCTGCGCTAGGAACAGCCAAGGGAGACGCAAGCAGATGGAGAGATACACCCCCTCGCCGCAGAGGCAGTTCGAACAGGACTGGCAGTCGCCGATGCGGCTGCCGAAGCCTCCGAAGCAACCATCGACCCTCGCCCAGAGCTGCCCGACGCCACCACACAACAGGCGGAGGTTCTTCCTCAGCCCAAAGTCCCTACGGAGCCCGTTCGGGCAGCGCGCATCACGGCACTCCCACGAGAACCACGTCCCACTGTCCGGTGAGTTTTTAAACTGGCTTGCTAAAGAAGGAATCATTCTTGATAGTAATTGATCCCGGTCTGCAACATCGTGTAATGAAAGTCTATCACCTCTTTTTAGACCACTGATCATCTCGCTCACTAGTTATACTTCACACCGGTCTTCTGTGGCGTTTGCGCTTCCTTTCCAAATTGGTCCATCTGCGCCTTGCATGCCCCAAACACGGTTGACATTCATCCGTTAATTTAGACCTGTTACGTCTACGCATTCGAACGAAACGGGCGAGATCCCACCGGTCGTGAATAAGCAAGTGACGGTTGCGACACGGCGACACAGCGCCCACGCGCCGACCGGATGTACGTAGGGGCTCTGCAAAGGACCGGTTGTCTGCCGTCTGTGTGTTTGTCAAGCCAACCGCCGACCCGACAGACTTTTGCAACGCTGCCCGCGCAGACAGGCCGGCTGCGGGCCTTATCTTTACATCTGTTACATTTTCTATTAATTGCGTCACCCGCAAACGATATTTATCTGCGGAGGCAGGGCAACAGCTGCCGTTTCCCAACTCGCCAGTTGCTACAGTTCGATCGATCGTTCCGACCGCTTCTTTCCTGTATGGAGCAAAAGCTTATGAGTCAACCCTGTTCCTCTTTATTTCCGGCTTCACCTTCTCATCTAGAGCAATGCGTCAACTGTCTTCAGAGTCCGTGAGTTGTGGCGAGTGGCCTCATCGAGTGATATTCCCACAGGGTTGCCAGAAGAAGGGGCGAGGAACGCAGCGTGGCATAGCCTGGTGTTCAATAAGATCAGGTCTCTCTGGTCGACCCATTCGTCCGTACCGCAAGGATTGAACCAGTTGACAGGCACGGCATACACTTTTTTCGCAGGAGGAATGTGGATGATAGTCATGCTACGAGTTCGTTAGCCAATCGACAATAAATTAAATTGATTACGTTACTTTTATCTACCCGACAACTATAAAACCAATACACGCGCATATACCAAAGTTAGTTTTAAGGATACTTAGAAAAATGAGGAATCTATTTTAAACGATATGTTGTATTGGCTACAAAAACCAAACTTTAAATGACATGTAGAAATTGGTGCGTTGTGACCGAAATAAAAAAGTCTTATCTCTCTTACGAAATAAAAATGTCTTAAAACATTTTCTATATTACTTGGAGACCTTAGTAATTGGCACATGTCCACCAATATAGTTCAAAGTATTACCAAAAGCTCAGCGAATGATAACTACGTCCACATTCCTCCGACCCAGCACGGGCGTCGTATTTTGCACATCTCTGCCTGTTGATACTCGATCCGCCCATGTGACACTAGCCGAGGCGGATCGTTTGCGTGTTTCTGTGTTTGCACTTACATCAATTCACATCCCACCGTTGCACTGTAATTGAACCTTATCGACATTAATATAAGATCACAACTAGCGTTTGCATGCAACTTGAATTCTTGCAAAGTCTAGATTCCAACAATTTCAATCGTAACCTTGATAATGTTATTAAATTGCACAATTCACGAAGTGGAATAATTTATGTCCATTATAAATTAGTATTTTAGTTAATTAGTATTATTATTTCATACTTAGTAATTTTGAAATTTAATTAAAAGTTAATGTTAAGAAAATGCTTCTGTTAGGAAAAAAATTAATTGCCATAATATTACTACGTCTACTAAAGATATGTGATTTTGTGTCTTCAATTTGTTTCCAGGGTAATTTTATGACTATTCTGAATGTTGATATGTGTGTGTGACATTTGGTGTAATTTTATGTATAAATATTTCAACAAAAAACTTCAAATCCAAAACCTGTTGCTATTTTGACCTGCAATAATAGTGAGTCCAGTATAATTTGAAATATCATCACTAAGCGACACTTTGTTAAGTCCTTTTTTAGTACGTAAAACAGCTAAATTTTTCGCATATTGTTTTTAGTTGCCCCGTTACCGTATCCTAGTATAAGACAATAGTGGTCGTGAAGATAATATTTAAACAATACGCTTATATTATTTGGTAAATGAGATGAGTATATTACTTATCAGTATGATAAACTTAACTATATTCTTTATCTCTCAGTTAAGCATTCTTAAGTTCAGGTCCTACTTTTAGAAAACAACGATTAAATACACGACCATCAAGAGTTTATTAGAATTTTCGTTCATTCAATTAAAAATTTTTGTTCAATCAATTCGTTCGTCAATAATATACTTACGTAATTCATAATGCACAACCTTAAACTGTCCCGAGCAATACTTTATGTAAATATTTATAGCTTGCCTTACACCAACGCATATGAAATGATAGCACACGATCCTAGACATTGTTTCACCGCAAAAAGGATGAAACTCCCTTGTACTTATTTTTTTTAATTCAATCACCTACCTCCATTCTAATAAACGGTAATATAATATTCTTAAATGAATTCTTGCTGTCCAAAGGAAAACATGATTTTTGGATTCCCATTAATTACTTATCTTACTTATTTTACGTATGTATTTACTTATAATTTTGTTATTCATAACAAGTATCAAAAGTATGAACAGATAAATTTGATTATACTTATATACAAGCTTTAGAGGTTTTAAAACTGAATTAGGATAAAGCACACACATCATTAGAAAGCAAACACATATAAAAAAGATAAGAAATATTTTTCACATTTAGATATTTTAATTAGGTTCTTATTTAAAACATATTAAAACTCCGTGACGCGTAAGCTACAACGTAGGTAATACACAAATGGCCACAATAATAATGGCAATACTCACATTTTTATCTTTATTCTAGTTTAGAAACATTGACAAAACTTCCAATTCTTTCATTTCTAAGTTTAGGGGCTATACATAAGTTTTGAGAGGATTATGATTATGAGATAAATAAAACGTAAAATAAATACGCCTTATCTTAAATTTTTTGTGTGTGGTAAATCTCAAATTTTATATCAAAATAAGAATCGAAAATCTTTTACCACAATCAAAAATTGTGGATCAGTAACGATGTATAACAAATAAGTCTATAGCAGTTATTGAATGCAGTCTGATGTCATCTATTAAGTTAAGCTGTGGGCGCTCGGAACTTGATCTGATTTAAAGCTCTGAATCTAGCTTCATAACAATATGGATCTAGAGACAGGCCAAGGTGAGAGGCTCTTAACGTGTTGGGTTCTGTAACGATTTTAGCATTTATATGTCCTCGCCTATTTAAAAGAAAAATAATGGAGGGGTTTTCTTTTGGAATTGTTTCGAAAATATGCAGATTTCCTCACGATATTTTCCAAATTTTTAACTGTCATATTAATAATCACGCGTTCACCGTGTCCACCGCTGGGCGCGTGATAATTCAACACGTAAAATTAAAGTTACTTATCACGACAGAAATACAAAATACTAACTAATAAGGTTCTTAAAGGTTTTTTTCTCAAATTTGGGACCGAGTAAGTAAGTAGTAATTCCGAATGGCCATAAGTTTTCACCAAGTGGTACTTTTAAAGCAACCTTGTGAACATTAATTATGGATTTAATCCACAGCAAGATATATCTTAATGTCTGGCGAACCAACACAAACACTGAGTTGCAATTACAATATCAGTGCGATTGACACACACACATTCGCAATTACAATATAAGTTCGATTGACAACTGCGCTAAGTTCACGCGTAACGAACTCAACCTTGACAGTGTCGGTGCTGAGTACCGGGAGGGCTCGCTGACATTTCCATTGTACCACAATGGGACGTGAAAGGTTTCCACGGTCAACGCTTTGCCGTTACGCCTGAACGGCCGATGTTCCGCTCGGCCTTCCGCCACGGGCGGTGGGCGTGTAATTTTTCGATGCAATTCGCTTTTTGTATAGACAATGACAGCGCGATGGACTGTGGACACTCGTATCAATTGTTTGACGTTCGACTTCATAAAGTAGTGTTTTTTGTATGTGAAAAGTTGTCTACGGAACAGGTGGCTCCAAGAACATTTACAATACCTGAGGGTATGCCGATACGTTGACAACCTTTAAAAAAATTATCTTCCGATCACCTCATTCGCCAGATGAAGGAAAAATCCAGTCTAATCTGCATTTTGTGCATCGGGGGGATCAAAACATAACCTTTCTGTGGAAATACAGGGTTTTTAGGGTCCTTCACCCAAAAAAAACCTCTCGGTGGCCTCTGTGCTTTTCCAGAGGCTCCATGATCTCCTACAGACCGAACCAGAATCAGTCTCCATTCCCCAGGAAGACTACACACGTAGCTCAATACACAAAACACGCTTCTGAGAAGGATATACCTTCTTCACTTCCTCAATTCTTAGCGGCAACACGGGACCACTTCATGCTGTCCTTATCCTTGCCGGGTCTATCCTAAAATGGATGATCGAAGACCCTTTCTCGATCGCACGTATACGCAATTTTAGTCAGATTTTATCACATGCAATATGAACATTAAACTGATGCTACATTAACTTACGATCTTTTAAAAAAACTAGATGTAAAATTAACAATTTAACAGTGTGCAAAAAAACAGGACATCAATATTAGAACACGTCTTTATCACTTCAATCAACGAGCGTATAGCAAAACATCGCAAGAAGTCAGTCATATCTTCAGAAATATGAATCGCTAAGTCGATGGATAACGCGTTTGATTGCTCATCGGACGTGTTGCGTCGGAAAAAAGGCTGGCTCGCTGACCATATGGTCTGTTCCGTCCCATTCAACAAGCCCCAGTGGTTATCTACAGCTGAACCGCCGCAAAACTCGCTCCCGAAGCGTGGGAGACCCCGCTTTTTGTTCACGCTGCGTCCCCGCACGATCTATGTGCGCTGGAAGCGGCACTGGAATATTCACAATGTATTAGGCTGCCACTATCACTAAGGAGCATTGTCGCAGTGATTTTTTGTATTTTACGGATATTACCGCGTTTCATTTTGATTATAAATTGAATTGTACCTATTGTAGCTAATATTATTTGGCTTTTTCGCTTGCCACCAAGTTTTTCGATGATAATAAATAGAAAAAGAAGATGATTAGAGCACTACAGTCAAATCAAGACTTCCATAAGCCAAGAAGGAACATTGTTAATCCACATCCTTAGCATTACATTCCTTCTTGTGCGAAATTCATTGGCAAGCGAAGTTCGGTCTTAGAGACTTTGTTATATTAATTAATTTTCACCTCTGAATCTGACCATTAGTTATTATTTATTTTTTAATGATAAAATAAAATCCCAAGTCAATACGAGTGATTCTAACAAAATAGTAATACGATTCACTCGCCCTTTTTAATAATATATTATATAACCTAAAGGGAATACGCGCATTAAAAATAAGGACGTATAAAAAAGCCACTTCCATCAGCTTTATATCGAACATTTACAATACTTGGCTTTGTAATAAATTCATTGTGAACCCGCCCCTATGTCATTCAGCAGTCGGTTGACAATTGTCATCCCTACAAAAAATACAGCTTGAACGTCACAGAAATTATAACTATGCGATATGAAGACACGTTTAAGATAAGAGATGTTATCTTCGATGATTTGAAGTAAACGCATCGTCTGCTTGTAAAAACACAAAGTCAACTTTTATTCTTATAAAATATTCTCAGTTTGGAACAATAATAATTTATTATAGGATATTTCTGTTAAAGATCGTGAATCAAAACGAAATAATTGATTTGTATATTAGGTATTGTGGTTATCTCCGAAACTGGACAATCGACTCAATATTTTTTCACAAACCTCATTTATCTCGGACCAAGATATTTTCTATTTTTAACCGACTTCAAAAAAGGAGGTTCTCATTTTGACTGCATTGTTTTTTTATTCTTATAAATGTTATTTAAGTTGAGTGGAAACCTCAATTAAATCGGATAGAAATTTTGTACAGCAATTCGGAAAAATGTTTATTTTTGATTGTTTTGCTAAATGTATTTTCGAGTGTATAATATTTTTATCGTCTAATCGTTATAGAGAATATTAAACTTTACTCTTATTTATCTACCCGTGTGAAGCCTCGACAAGCCAGTTGTTGTTCAGTCTCATCCTTTGTCACGCGAGACGATTGTCGTTGTTGCGTATAAAGATGGCGGATTTGCCTTCCCACGGTGGCCTCGCGACTTCCGCGGGCCGAGTCTTGTATTACACCGCAAAAGCGTTATGGGCGTCCTGACCTCATAGCTGTGCCCGATGCACGGGGACCGTCATTCAAGAATGGAAATGAGACCGAACATCACAAACAAACATACAGTCGACATATTAAAACTGTTACATAAATAGGTTTGGAATAGTCAATACATTTCCGTTCCCATTTCATTACAAGTTCAATGGCAACAATCGCTAGTTTTTCCTTCGACTAAATACCATCATAATCACCATCTCTTTTACCATGAAAAAACTAATCAACAAAGGATTCCTGAATAGGTTATCCCACGAGTACTAAGATGATCTATGCGAAAGCTTATCTTTTTAGAACACTTGATTCCCATCAAATGTCATGGGAACTTTCACTGCGCACCTCCGGAATGCCGACTCCTTTTTCTGCGACTTAATCGCTAATTAATTTAAACCATCGTATAAATTATTAATAGGCCTTTGTGGTAATAATTTATTCGACTTTTCTTTTATACGTTATGTACCTTTTACCTAATTATTACCTTTCAAGAAAATTTTCTTAAATGCGATCGTGAAAACAACTAAGATTTATTTGTACCAAGCGTAAGATAATTATTAAGGAATATTAATCTATTTATAATTTTTACCGAAATAAAATTAGTTTGTTTTTTCTGGTATGTATGTATGGATGGTATTAGTGATAATTTTTAGTTGACATTTCAGTAAAGCTTTGTTATTTTTATTTTGTATTACGCATGTAGTGTTTTTTTGCATTTTTATTATTTATATATTGTTTAATATTGAATGTTGTTACTTTATAACTTTAAGCGTTGTAATACATATATGTATATCATAGCTACCCCACATAGCAATACCCTCATTATATTTCAACCCAATTGCACTTAAAGACATGTGTTATGAAAATTTCATCAATTGCTCAGTATTGCAATCAAGTAATATATCGGTTTAATATTGTATATTGCGTATTTATGTTTGAAGTTACACAAGTTAGCATGTAAAGCACGGGTGTTTGAAGAGTGTTTTGACAAATTTATCGAGAATAGTATGCTTATTTAGAATTGAATTTGCAGATGACGAGGGCGGCCACATTAAGCAAGGCTTTGAGGCGCGCAGGCAGAACGACCTCTACATGCGCCTGGGCCTGCTGTTAGGGGAGAGACGGGGCTCCAGGAACAAGTCTAGGGATAGCTGCACCTCCCTAGCGTCTTTGGACGCCCACACCCTCGCCTCGCACAACACAAGCCCGGTACGTATATGTTGGATAGAGAAGCGACTCTATTGTTGGAGTCATAGAGTTGATAATGCATAACGCAAACGGTGGTAATAACACGCAAAACGCATTTCTTTGACCACAAGAATGGGAAAGATGTGATTATGATTGTCGCTTGCGATGGATTGGAGGTACGGAGGTTCGACAACTTTGCCACACTGTGAAATACTTTTACTGTGAAGTAATTTAAAAGAAAAAGCACGTAACAATAGCCAGGGACATAAAAGTGGTTTATCACTGTTCTAAAGAAAAATACGGCTAAAATTTGTGGAGAAATTGACGTTAAATCTTTGCTGCTGCCAGAACTCGAACTTGTGCCTTCAGAATTACGTGTCCAGACGTTCTAACCATTAAGCTAAGCGTGCGGTATTCTCACCGTGCAGAAATCTAGACGCGTTATCTTCTGTTTTATTAAATTTTAGCAATGCTTAGCGCCATCTATTGTGCTTCCTTTACAACAAGTACTTTCTTAACTGACTTTTTTACAATGATTATTTGAAAACAGGAAATGTCGCTTTTGATATTGAAGTTTAATTTGTGAATAGATAAAATAATTTTTCAATTAGTTAAAATACAAATCTACCTCTTCAATCAATTTCCTAAAACTAGATCGCCCAAGCCGAATCTATGTCGTTTGTATGGGGTTAACACGTTTCAGTGTCTTTGTTGCAGGTGTCAACGCTGACTGGTTCCTCCGAAGTGGATGCCGCGACACCGTTAGGTCGAGACTCCCTTGGCTCGCTGGCGTCGATGTCGCTGTCTGCTGCCAGCAACTGCTCATCCTCGAGTCCTGGTAGCAGACGACATTCCGTCAACGGTGAGTTAATATTGCATGCCACCACGTGTCTCTTAACAGCTAGTATTGACAGCATAAAGCTGTTAACTTCGCCCGATCCAGTAAACCACTGTTATCTGTTTAAACTCATGATGGTTTTCACAGAAAAGTTTCCTCTGGTATCAACTAACGTGTTTATTGAAAACTGACTCTGAAATTTCGACAACCCTAGCAAACTCTGTCAAGCCCGTTATGAGTGCTTGAATTTTACAGAAAACAGAAAATTGTTAGCATTTTACAGAAAATTTTCATCTGATCTAGACTGGTCTGTGATAATTAAGCGCTACGAGATTTTATGGGGGCATGTTTTTCTACACTTAAAATGGTCCGATGGCTTTTCAGCGCTGCAAAGTCGGCCGGAGGAGCTGACGCGCATGTCGAGTGGGTTCTTCAAGAACCGGAAGACGGCGGCGCGGAGGTCCGCCAGGGCGAGCAGCAGCAAATCCTCTACCTCCTCGGACATAAAAAAAGGTTTGCGAGCGACAATAGCTCTTGTTTCCTTTACGATAAAAGCTAGGCTTACGATATATTTATTTTGGTTTACCAACAAAATTAATTACACGTAGACACGAATTTTATGGCAAAGAGTAACACATAATCTCAATTATGGGTATTCACAGCATCAACAATAGTATTTGTCGTACTCATGTTTTATATCTATTCAGCTAATGAAAAGTAACTAAAAGAAAGAACATAAATGTTAAAAACAAAATTAAATACATACAAAAAACGGCGTGATGGAATTGGAAAGAAGTAAATGAAAAAGCAAATGTTATTGTTGTGTTTACTAAACAGAAAATCAATTCTCTTTCACCGCTGTGTTAAACATTTTTAATTTTAAAATTGTTCAAATTATCGACGAACAAATCGGTGGAGTTGTCTTTACTGGAAAATTCTTGGCGTAGCCTGACTATGCGAGGTACAATTGAGTGGTGGCGAAGGTTGGTTCTGTACAAATTGATGACTTAAGGACTTAAGCTATTACGTTGCCGTAAAACCACCGTCTGGCATGCTTAAGTCGACAATTCCACTGCCTGTCACTTTAGTAGTGTAAATAATTTAAAAAGAATAATAATAAAGCACTTTTATTCCCAAGTCGCTACAACTTCGTCGACACAGATTTACAATTTCGGTGCATTACATTATGTCTTGCAACTCCGCTTCTGGCATAGGCCTCCTCCAGCTCTTCCCACTGTGCGCTGGGTTAGGCAGATATCGTCTTTATTTTTAAAAAGAATGCAACATTCAAATCCAGTCTATCCAGACAAGAGCATTCGCCTCTCCCGTATTGATGCTTATATGATACTCGAGTTCCAACGTCGCCCTGTGAACAGAACACGCTGCGTGTAAGCAAAAACTCGCTCCCGGAAAGCTTTTTTCCCCGGGATCAGATCGTGTCGCCCGATCTGCTTTTTGCGTCATCAGCAAACTCAGAGTCCGCTCTTAATGGAATCACTTACGGGCTCGAGGGGTACATGGCTTACGCCGTTAATTAATCGACAGACACATACCGTCGAAAAGTGTTCGACGGGTTAATAAATAAATAAAATGTATATTCTGGTGTTATAATAAGTACTTATTGTAACACCAGAATATACATTTTTTATTATAACTACCGAATATACAATATACAGGGTGTATTTTCTAAAGGTGCCCAAATTTACACTCAGGTTCAGACTCAGTAGTATAATTGTTAATTGAAATAAAAAAAAATTATTATGTTTTTTAAATTGCAATTCCATTCCCTAAAAAACAGAACTTGTTGACAATGCGGTAGTCATTCATAAATGCGTCGTTTACTTTTGAAACGAACTTGGGTGCGTGTTAGTTATGAATGTTCGCGCGTAAAATAAATGAGTTGCCCATAAATCACGCACTTTTTGAGATAAGTTCAAATAAATGTAATTAATTAATTACGAGTGATTTTAAATATTTTGTTATATAACACTATTTATGTCTAGAATTCAAGATAAAAAACAGTTAGAAAAACCTCCCTGTATATAGCAGTCCATGTAATAGTTTGTCTACTACTTCGTTTCGGAATAAGATTTACATGAAAAATTATGTCTGGAGCGTTGACAATATTTGTCTCATAAATTTGGGTTGACATACTTTGATCCACTCGATTTGTATTTAATTGCATACTTTCATTGAGACGATACTTGTCAAAGTGTGCTTCGATGGCCGCGTCTGATCAAAATAGCCTTAAACCGCGATATACTTTTCAAAGTAGACTCAGATGGGAATTGGATAAACCTAATGGAGGCAGTTGTCAAATAAGTGTCATTAAAAAGTGTCTTCCGACAACATACAGTTTTTTTACATATTAGAACGAAGTATAAATAGAATAATTTAACTTAGTAGTCAAAATACTAGTTTTCATAACACTCCATTCATATTTTAAACGGAGTTTCGATTAGGGTGTGATTTATATTTATTTACTAACAGCTAAATTCAAAATTTCTTCGTACATCGAACACAGATATTGAAAACAAATAAGTCTAAAACAACATTCTCTTATAAGCACATACCCAACACAAATACGAAACAAACTCGACTCATTATACTTTGAATTGTAGTAATAAACTCCTTTGCAGTGCACCCAGCCCCACAGCTGAACCTCAGGCCGCTGTTCTTCGAAGTTCCATCCACCGACAACCAGGAGAACTTCTCCGGCCGCCAGTGGCTGCTGAAGGACATGGAGAAAGCCCTGGAGTCCACATCATCAGGTATTGACAAATTGTTACTCATTGCAGTGACAGGGATCTCCATTTCTCTATCTTGTTCCTATATCCCGGTTCTTAGGATCTTTTAAGAAGAAGAAGATTCGTTGACAGTCACCACGTTATAAATTTAACGATCCCAATTATGGTGAATAGCATTAAATATATATTTATCGCGTAAGTGTTGTCAAAAGTTTTTTCAACTTTTGGCAATCGAGCAAGTGGGCCAGATGATGGTAAGTGATCACATGAGCATTCGATACATCAGTGTAGTTACGAATGCATATTATAAGGATATACTCTATTGTTGAAACTCTTATAAAGTCCTACACGTAAAAAGGTCGGTGCAATATGCATTTCTGCTTCGTTATATGCGTTAAAAAACGAGAGCTTGTTTGTCCATTATTTACCTCTAAAACTGCCGTAATCAACAGGAAAGAACTAGCCCTTCCACAGTTGAAGTTTTTTTTTTATGTGAAAAAGTGGCAAACGAGCTGGCGGTTCACCTGAGGTTAGTGATAACCGCCGCCCATGGACATTTACAACCGAAGGGTTGCATAAGCGTTGCCACCTTTAAACAAATTGGGCCCCGGCTACCTCATTCACCAGACGAAACGCAGAAGATTTACACTTCTACTTTACGCTGGCCTTGTGTGAGGTCGTGGTACTAACCCGGACGGACCTGCCCATTCGTGCAACAGTGAAAACTGTTGCGCGGCCCTATCACCGTGAAAGTTGTTTGTTATCATCTAATGACCGCTCCACTTCTCACAGTTAAATTTGTTTGTTATCACCAAATATCCACTCCACTTCTTTTCAGGCATCCTAATATCGGGCAGTCCTGGCACCGGGAAGACCGCACTAGTACTCCAGCTGGTGGAACATTCCTGCTTCGGGAGGAAGCGAAACTTCGAGTACGAGGAGCTGAGGGAGCAGTCCGACTTGGGAGAGATACTCCCCGAGGAGTTGGTCGAGGGGATGTTCACGCATCTGGCGTCGCAAGTTGTCGCCTACCACTTCTGTCAGGTACGTCACGTTGCTGCATAGAATTTAAGGTCTTTTCCAGGTTCGCTGAAGGGAGGAGAAGTTAGAGATTTTAGAAGGCTTTTATTTGTAGTGTAATAGTTTTAGTAATCAAATCTTAATCGACGTAAAAGGGTTTCCGCCAAGATAACTGTGGTTAGACACTGTGTGTAGTTGACTCGGTTGCCACTTTTTTATAACCAAATATTAAATAGCATGGCAACTAGTTAAACCTTAATAACATTTGTAAAATGTTCTGACAATCATTGTATTATCATTCTGTAATTTAAATTTATCATTTAAACACATAAAAAACAAAGTTTGTTGATGTCCTCAGACAATGACTGTATGTTGCAAAATAAGGGATATATTACACGGTATCTGTGTTCAACACATTAGTTCAAGTTTCGTCATCGTTCATAGTGGACAAAAGTTGGATAGCTATAAAGTACGCTTTGACGACTTAAAAGGGTTTCTTGGAATAATTTCAACGCTTGGCTTTATAGTCAAAAAGTTCACGGAGGAGCTCCACTACAATCTTAAGCCACTCATCGTCTGAATAATTAACCGTCACGATAACGACTGTACTATATATATTTTTAAAGTCAGTAAGGTTTGTTTTATGCTCTTATTTAACGTTAAAAACTACAAACGGTTCAATTATAACTTGACCTGTCCAGAGAAGAACAAGAAGCTCTGCGGTCTTGTTATCTGTTTTTTAATTGTATATGTGTACAAAAATATTTTAACAATAAAATCATCAGCAGCCAGGGACTTGAAGTGCAGAGCAAGAGTCATTTCCACGCATTATTCTCCTAAATGCATTCTTCTATTATAACAGACCATTTCCATTACGGGTAGCTTTTAGGATAATAATATTTCATCATTTATTTCGCAGGCGGACAACAACAGCACTTGCTTGGTGGGGGAGTTCGTCCACTCGCTCGCAGCCCAGCTCTGCCAAGCGCCGAGGCTGCAATCCTACAGGGAGTATTTGCTCAGCGAGCCGCACCTGCTCTCCTGCCTCTCGCTCAAAGAGTGCATCGCCGACCCGGACCTGGCCTTCATGAGGGGCATCATAGAGCCGCTGGCCACCCTCCGCAGGAGCGGGGGCATAGACAACGGCAACAGCATCGTGCTGGTCGACGGCCTCTGCGAAGCGGAGTACCACAGACCAGACCACGGGTACACCATAGCGTCGTTCCTAGCGCGCCACGTCGCCGAAATGCCTAACTGGTTGAAGATCGTGGCAACAGTCAGGACCCAGTTCCTGGAGCTGACCAAGCAGCTGCCCTACACGAGGCTCAGCCTGGACGAGTCGGAGAACGTCCACAAAGACCTGCTGAGGTACTTCAACGCCCGGCTCCAGGCGGCGCCCATCATTGAGACGAACATAAAGTGCTCCACGGGCAAGACGGAGAGCGCGCACAACTCCGTGATGAAGTTCGCGCAGTACGTGCTGCACCTGAGCCAGGGGTCGTTCCTCTTCCTCAAGCTCATCCTGGACCTGCTGGAGAGGAGCCACATAGTGGTCAAGTCGACCAACTACAAAGTGGTCCCGATATCGCTAGCCCAGATATTCCTGCTGCAGTTCAACCTCCGCTTCCCGACCGTCCAATCCTTCGAGAAGGTCACCCACATCCTCAGCGTTTGCCTGGCGGCGCTGTACCCCCTCACCCTGGTCGAGATATACTACTCGGTGAACTCTTTGCTGGTGGACACCTTCCTGCCCTGGGACGAGTTCTGCCACCGCTTCGAGGGCCTCGCCGACTTCCTGGTGAAGAGGATCGACAACACGTACATGTTCTTCCACCCCTCGTTCAGGGAGTGGCTGATGAGGCGGGAGGACGGCGAGAGCGTGAAGTTCCTCTGCGACCTTCGCGCCGGACACTGCGGGATAGCCTACCGCCTGTCCAGGGTCCAGGCGCCGTTAGACCCCGAGAAGACCATGGAACTCGGCCACCACATCCTGAAAGCGCACATGTACAGGAACCTGGGACCGGCTCAGCTGGGCCTCTGCCCGAGGGATCTTCAGGCGATGATGGTGGCCACCAGCTCGGCGAACGTTGGCGAGGCGATAGCGAATTTGAGGAACATCTACACGCCGAACGTAAAGGTGTCCCGTCTGATGCTGCTGGCGGGCGGCTCGCCCAACCAGATCACGGACTGCTTGGGCAACGCGCCGCTGCTCTGCATGTACTCCTACCAAGGGATCCTCGCGATGGTGGGCCTGCTCATCGAGTTCGGTGCCGACCTGGAGATGACCAACTCGCAGGGCTGCACGGCATTGTCGCTCGCCTGCCAGAGAGGGCACACCGACGTCGCCAAGAGACTCATCGCTGCTGGTAAGACCGCAACAAGTCCTAATAAGCTTGCTTTAATATTTGTTCACGCGATTATATATGGCCATACTAGACGGCCATTATGTATTTTATTTTTCGTGGGAAAAATCCTTTATTAGCTGGGATATGTGGGAGTCCCAGTAAAAAAAAACGGGTACCCACTAAAAACCACGCTATACATCTCTCTCTCGCATCGGCCGGGGATACGTGGACGCAATATTAAAAGCAACCTATATGTTAAAAGCGTTACTTATCAGTACATAATGTTTTCGCTAATAGTGTTATATTCAAGTATTTAATAAACTTTTGGACACTTATTTCTAATATAAATGTTTGCGATACGAAAGAAATAAAAAAGTGCTGTGAACTTATGTACACGCGTTAGAAGTTAAACTTCTTTGGCATAATAAGATAAAAATCTTTTCATAAATTTTATCTTTCGCCTTATTCGTTCTACAAACATAGTCTAGAAAAAACGACACACGATAGAAAAAAGGTATTTAATACATTGAAAGTTTTTTTATAACACATTGTCTAAAGTTAAAAAAAGTGTATTTAAATATCACGAAATAAATATCGTGAATACAGTTGTCAGTTCTCACGCAAACATACTCAGATGTCTAGCTAAATTCAGGGTGTCGGTCTTTAGCGACGGTGCGCTTGGCGCGTCTTAAAAATTTATTCGCATCGTTTGTCGCTAACGCGCCAAAAGAGGTACAACTTCGAAAACCGATCATTTGGAGAGATCGGTGAGCTTTTTAACCGTGCATTCCCAGTCAGATAATAGCTACCGATCGAGCCAAGGTCCGGCTCTCTCGGGCACCAATCGGAATGCGCCAACCTAAACGCGTACTGAGTGACAGCCCAAGCCGAGGACCCCTCTCGGAGACCTTTCAGCCAGATCACTCCATGGAGCGCCCGCCAAAGCGCCCTAAGAGCTTGGCGGCCTCCAAAACCGGTGAATTAAATAGCGTGACGGCCCGAGCCGAGGCTCCTCCGGGAGCCCTCGAGCTTAGTCACCATAACGCGTAATAATAGTACGCCGAGGTTCAAGGCTAGGCGCCCCGCGGGCCAGGCCACCTCAAGCCCGTCGGAACTGTGAAGGCTCCTAAGGCCAACAGTGGCTCATCAAGCCCTAAAAAAAAAAAACAAAAAAACCGTGCGCGCCAGGTTCGTCGCTCAGCCACACGGACACGGCGGAGCAGACGCCGCTGGTGCACGCGGCGAAGAACGGCCACCGCGACACCGTCATCTACCTGCTGGGCTGCCAGGCGGCGGGCGGCGGCGGCGCGGAGGGGCACGGCAGCCTCGAGCAGCTCGTCCCCGGCTCGAGGCACGCGCTCATAGCGGCCGCGCAGAGCGGACACCTGGACATCGTCGAGTACCTGCTCGACACCGCCGAGCTCATGGTGGGTTTTCAGCCGCCTTATCATACGGTTCAAAGTCACCTTCTTAAAAAGTCACTTCTTTAAAAAGTCACTTCGTTAAAAGTCACTTCTGTAAAAAGTCACTTCGTTAAAAAGTCACTTCGTTAAAAAGTCACTTCGTTAAAAAGTCACTTCGTTAAAAAGTCACTTCGTTAAAAAGTCACTTCGTTAAAAAGTCACTTCGTTAAAAAGTCACTTCTTTAAAAAGTCACTTCGTTAAAAAGTCACTTGTTTAACGGCGAAACTTTACAAAGAAATTAACCCGTTAGTAAGTCATAGTTCGTAAGTTGCACACGAGGTTATGATAACGAAGAAATATCAAGCCCGTGATGCGAAGTATGTGAGCGGGTGATTTACCTTATGTTAACTGGTTACCGCCACTTTTTATAAATATACCTGTCACATTGAAAAAATTACACTTCAAAATAAACCTACAATCACAATAGTCACATTTTCCTATCAATAGGGAAAAAAACTCTAAACACGAACGATAAAGTCACTTTCACTTCTGACGGACGCATCACGTGAAACAATCATGATACAGCTGCTATAGCCCCTCAGTTTGAAAAAAAACCTAAAACGGTCGTATACTGCCGCACTCATTTGAAAACAATCCTAACACAATCACCATGGAGCCGCTTTTCCATGAGCCATTAGCCGGACGGCCCGGTGACCGGCGAGACGGCACTAACGGCGGCGTGGCCTCATTTGAAAACAAACCTAACACAATCACGATAGAGCCGCTTTTTCCTCAGCCGAACGCATAAAAAGCAAACCTTAGAGTTTCTCGTCGTTCGGCACCGTCGCGTCATTCGAAACTGAACCCTGCGCGCTGAACACAAGGCCGCTTTCAGCCGGACGGCGTGTGCCCGGTGACCGGCGAGACGGCACTAACGGCGGCGTGGCCTCATTTGAAAACAATCCTAACACAATCACGATAGAGCAGCTTTTCCCTCAGCCGAACACATAAAAAGCGAACCTTAGAGTTTCTCGTCGTTCGGCACCGTCGCGTCATTCGAAACTGAACTCTGCGCTTTTAAGATAAGGTCGACCTAATACGGCCACTATAGTCGCCCGTCGCGTCACTCGAAACTGAACCCTGCGCGTTGAACACAAGGCCGCTTTCAGCCGGACGGCGTGTGCCCGGTGACGGGCGAGACGGCGCTGACGGCGGCGTGCGGCGCGGGCCACGCGTGCGTGGCGGACGCGCTGCTGGTGCGCGGCGCCACCGCCTACTCGCCGAACGCGCGCCGCGTGTCGCCGCTGGCGCTGGCGGCGCGCGGCGGCCGCGCGGGATTGCCAGCCCTAGCGACGAAGCGAGAGGATCGGGCGCTGGAGCGCGGTGAGTGACAACCCTAGCGACGAAGCGATTGGTTGGGGCGCTGGAGCGCGGTGAGTGGCAACCCTAGCGACGAGGTCTGTGGTTCGTTAGTGAGATCGACAGTATTTTAGGCGACGCTTTAGCACGTGAATTGGTGGCAATCGTTGCGATAACGCCCGTCGTTGAGACTGGAATGAGATGTTGACAAAAATAGTGAGAACGCTGTTAGTTTTACCGCTGCTTAAGCACGTATTGACAACCCTAGCGACGACATTGGTAATTCAGGCGTTGTTGGCAATCGGTGAAGATCGACAAACACTGCAATTACGCACAATTGTATTACAATGTTTCGGTGTGGGCATTCTTGGCTGTACACCTTCGTATCTTCAATGCTCAAAGGTCTGTTACGGCGGCGTTCCTTTGGAGCGGGCCAGAACGATCTTAAGAGTTGCAAAGGAGCTACTCTTTAAAACCCGATGAATTTTTAGCTAAGAACACGAAAGAAGCAAACCGAACATTTCTAAACTCACTCAGAATAGAGCCGCTGCTGAAACCTAGTGAGAACTGTTGTGACAAGTCGGGAAACCCTTTCATAAGACGTGATATCTCTGTTCAAACCTTCCATTCAAATAGTACAATAGATCATAACCTGATAATAGACCATAATCCAAGCTGTAAGTTACTCCAACTTCTCCTAGTTCTGAAAACATAAACGTCTAAAATTTATTGTGTTTTGTGTTTCTAGAAGGTTGAAAATTTGACCACATCCATATTATCCAGGCGCCGACCCGGACGCCGTCGACGCCGACGGGATATCCGCCCTCGGCTGGGCGTGCCTTCGATCCCGGATCTCCACCGCCATGCTGTTGCTGGACAAAGGAGCGTCCATAGGTAAATATATTAAGCGAATTGTATCGTAGCGTTTAAATGTACCTGTTTTATTTCTAATACGCATGTTTAAATTGATTTACGTTAATATAAATGCTGCGCTCAATGTTCAACGTTTTATGTTTAGTGAAATATGTGGACGTGGCCGGGCAAATGCGAGTAGGCTACTTTATTTCTCTCCGACCGAATATAGCTGTTGTTGGTGCATATGTCTTTTTATTTTGACGGCTCAATTTGCGTAACGCCAAACCAATAATTTAAAAAAAAATATACGTTTCTACTCTGCCATCTGTCAATGTAAAAATTCCCATTCTAACTCCTTTTCTCGCCGTTCACTATTGTAAAAAGAAAATAAATACCCAGTTCACAAAATTCAAGAAATTTTTATTCTAAGAAAATCCGAAGCCATCTTAAGTCTATAACATCAAAATATCACTTCATTACTTGCCTAAACAATAGTCATTAATGGTTTTCATCCTATTTAACTAGGTAACTGTTGAACGTCGTGCACCTTTGACGAACTTCAGAGGCATTCCGAGTAAAAATTTTGCGCGGCCTGTACTTTAGTCCACTGTTTAGCAGTGGTCTCAAACAGGGTAAAATGATGATGATGAACAGCGCGTCTAAAGTACAGGCCATATGCCTGTACTTTCAGACATATGCCTCCCACACAGATAGCGACGTGGCCACTCGGAACCTCTATTCCACTTCGGTTATCGGTTCTTCCAGATATGGCCCATTACCATTTCAGCTTCTCTTCATATATGTTCTACTGCGGATGTCTTGATTACGATCTTACTATGCAAGGGCAACGTAACAGCTTAGGCTGTTTTACGAATGGGCAGGTCCATCCGGGTAATATCACGAACTCGATGGCTGTGCTTTACTTCTGCGTTAAGTCTGGTGAGTAGGATAGCTGGGACCCACTTTATTAAAAGGTTACAACACCTCTGCGTCCCTACTGGTGTTACGAATGTCCATGGGCGGCGTTCATCACTTAACATCAGGTGGACAGCCACCTTTCATGCCAGCATATCACATAAAAAGAGAACTCTGTCCGTGCTGTCGAGCGATTCCCGCCTCTAGCGCGCTGAGTTATGGTCGCTTGTGGTGCGCAGAGCAGGCGGACGGCAGCGGGCGCACCGCGCTGGCGCTGGCGTGCGGCGGGCCGGCCGAGCTGGCCGAGATGCTGCTGGAGCGTGGAGCCTCGCTGGAGCGCGTCGACCTCAGCGGGCTGCGGCCGCTCGACCGCGCCATCGGACAGCGCAACGTGCCCGTGCGTGCCTCTCTCTCTTGCCCTCCCTCTGTCTCCCTCTCACCCCGCTGGAGCGCGTCGACCTCAGCGGGCTGCGGCCGCTCGACCGCGCCATCGGACAGCGCAACGTGCCCGTGCGTCGCTCTCTCTCTTGCCCTCCCTCTGTCTCCCTCTCACCCCGCTGGAGCGCGTCGACCTCAGCGGGCTGCGGCCGCTCGACCGCGCCATCGGACAGCGCAACGTGCCCGTGCGTGCCTCTCTCTCTTGCCCTCCCTCTGTCTCCCTCTCACCCCGCTGGAGCGCGTCGACCTCAGCGGGCTGCGGCCGCTCGACCGCGCCATCGGACAGCGCAACGTGCCCGTGCGTGCCTCTCTCTCTTGCCCTCCCTCTGTCTCCCTCTCACCCCGCTGGAGCGCGTCGACCTTAGCGGGCTGCGGCCGCTCGACCGCGCCATCGGACAGCGCAACGTGCCCGTGCGTGCCTCTCTCTCTTGCCCTCTCTCTGTCTCTCTCTTACCCCGCTGGAGCGCGTCGACCTCAGCGGGCTGCGGCCGCTCGACCGCGCCATCGGACAGCGCAACGTGCCCGTGCGTGCCTCTCTCTCTTGCCCTCCCTCTGTCTCCCTCTCACCCCGCTGGAGCGCGTCGACCTCAGCGGGCTGCGGCCGCTCGACCGCGCCATCGGACAGCGCAACGTGCCCGTGCGTGCCTCTCTCTCTTGCCCTCTCTCCGTCTCTCTCTCACCCCGCGTACTTACGTTACTTACTAACTCTTTACCTCTATCCCTGTCTTTCTTACCCGAGAACGCATCGACAGCGCAACGTGCCCGTGCATGCATCTCTCTCTCTCCCTCCTTCTCTCTTTCACTGTCACAGTCTCACTCTTATCCATTTCTTTATAAATAAATAGAAATAAATACATTTCGTTACAAATAAGAATACAGAACAAAAAAAGTCAACTACCTACTCCCAAGCACAACTTAGTTTGATGGGTCCGGTGGCTGTTAAACGTACTTCACCCTACCTTATAAATAACTATGGTCGATAAATAATATATACATAGTAGTATAATTATAATTTTTAACAAAAAAAAAACGATTTCAAACCGGAAACTAAAAAAAAATCATAGGTAATACCTAGAACATTTGAGGATTGCCCTCGATTTATCTGGGATGCCATCATTATAAGGAAACCTGATCATGGGTCCGCGAAAACACAAAAAAAAATACTACGTCATCCTACTCTCCCTTGATCCCATAAATTCCATTATCTTATCTAAGTCAGTTCTATTACTATGATGTCTGCTATATCTCCAACTCACTTTACTCTTCACTACTTTATAATCACTATTTCTATCTGTGGATATCAAAATTGAATAGAAAAGTTTTCTGCAATTGAATAAATCAAAAATTATTTTCTCAATATTAGGTCGTCAACTGTTTCCTGAGGAAGGGCGCGAAGCTTGGCCCTACCACGTGGGTTATGGCGTCCGGCAAACCTGAATTTATGTAAGTTCTTTATACCGTACTGCCAACGAAAACAGATTACTTGTATAACGAAATGACGATCTGTTCAAGAAACTAACCTTAAAACAAACAAGAAAAAAGTGTAACAAGACACGTCGAATGAGAAAATGAAATGATCAACAGATATACAGATTTAATGAGCATTCCTAACTGCTGAGTTTTTGCAGCGAGTTAACGCATCGAATGATCGATTGGATAAATTATATAATGAGTGGTAACTATACAGCGTGTGAAATTTTCTTAACGGTGCTTAATTTAACGCCCTGAGTGAACACAGACAAGTACCACGATTTCCGAAAGACACTTATAAAGTGGTAACTTTACACTTCCGCTTTGAGTCGAATCAGTAAAATGGCCGGCGGCAGGCAACAAAATTGCACTTCAAATTCTATTTATATCCTTAGCTAATGCACGCATGTGCATTTGCACGGCCTTACACACTGTGGAGGGCCTCACCCGTGGGTGGGTTCTGGCTAGCCATAGAGCCGGTTCTGCGTTCGATGATAACTTATGCCCGGGTACTATATTAAACGAACGGCCGTCAGTTACGTAGCTTCGTAACTTTCATAACCACTTGTAGATTCAAGGAACGCTAGTAACTCACTTTCCGTAGGCGATGCAACGGCTCTTATTAAAACGCATCGTTTTGTTAGTTCAAGAATCGGGTGTACACGCCCTTTTTCTACAACCGCCCGCCACTGCCGTACTGACCACTCGACCGGTGTCAATAGGGCTGCAGAGATCCAACTGTTCCCCAGGCTGATCCTGCTGAACAAGCTGCTGGAGGACGGCAACCAGCTGTACCGCAAGAACCGGCCTTCGGAAGCCGCCCACCGCTACCAGTACGCGCTGAAGAAGATCGCCCCGCTGGTGGGCGACGACGCGCCCCCCGACCAGGTGTCGGCCTTCGTGCAGCTCAACACCAACCTGCTGCTCAACCTGTCGCGCTGCAAGCGCAAGCTCAACGTGAGTCGCGACAGGCTCGGCTGCCGACAGCCTTGACGCCATTCGCCCCGAGCGATGGGCTCGGCGGTTCCACTCTAAAATTGCTTTATATACTAATATAACTATGCAGTAATACTAGATTTGTTTATTTATAATCGCCTGCTATTCTTTTCACTTTTTTTATTGTGCTCTTAAACACTGCAGGGTGATTTTTTTAGACGAAGTACCATACTTTGACATAATGTTAATTGAGCATGTCATAATAAAAAAATATATTAATATTTTATTTTGAAAACAAATAACCGGAAAAATATCAATTCAAACATTGTTTCTTTATCCCGTTAAGAGTGGTCACACTATTGATAAGCGGTTTAGTAATTATTCATTCAGCGAAAAGTTTTAGCGCTCGTCGATGGGTTATTGTATTGAGACGGTAAGGCAGGAATTTCTTAAGGAGTCCATAATGTTTGAAAAAATAATAACAATAAATAAATGAATATTTTAGGACACATTTTTTACACAACATTTTCCAGTCCCAAACTAAGCAAAGCTTGTACTATGGGTACTAGAAAACTGATAAATATACTTAAACATACTTTTCTTTTGTAAACAAATACATATTTATACATATGTAAACACCCAGACACTAGAAAAACACCATACTCATCACACAATATTTTTCCAGCAGTGGGGATCGAACCCACCCTCTGGCGCAGGAGGCAGGTACACTACCCACAACGCCATTCGGGTCGTCGAATGAAAAATAATCTTTGAAAAGAAAATGAGGCCACAAGCACGTACCAGATTCAGATTTAGGATCAAATTCTGCACATGCTCTGTTAATATGTCCGTCGTCTATAAAATCACCCTGTATAAACATAGCTGCGTACCGCTATGTATGTTTTATTTGAACTACAAGTGCATTGTTGTCCACTTGAATTTGTTCGAACGAACGTGCAATGTAACGCTCTCCCCGCCCGTAGGAGCCGTCGGAAGCGTTGGAGCTGGCCGCGCGCGCGTCGGTGTTGCGTCCGAACGCGTTCGAGTGCGCGTACGCCATGGCGAGGTCCATTCTGGCCCTCAACAAGCCCTCGGAGGCGCTGCCCCACGCTAGAAGGGCCCTCCTGCTCGCCCCGCCCTCGGACCTCCCCACCGTGAGGACCTTAAAGGCCCTGCAGCAAGAGGTTCTCACAAGGATCAACGCTGGCGCCCACACTCTTAACGGCGACAACCGCTCCGTCAGGAACTTCGACAGCATCAGCCTCAACATGCCCTGACACTCTATTTAAGAGTACGAATAGCTATCTTTTACACAAAATTGTTTTTGTCTCTTAAATGTGATTCCTTATGCCTTAACACTCATGAATTTAAGAGTACAAATAGCTATCGAAAACACAAAATTGCCTTTGTCTCTTATATGATTCGTTCGATGTAGGAATCGGATCGTTTTTTACATAAACGTATATCGATTTCTCTTACTTATGTATGTTGTATTTGTATAAATTTATTTTTATTTTTATCCTTCGCCTGTTTTTGCTTAATACCCTATTGGTTCGGCACGTTCTGTGCTGAAACTGTATTCGTGAATTTCTTACTGCGTTTACGCACTACATCTCTACGTAGAGACGATATAATTTATGTTTAACTTGTGATTATTTTTTTAAGTCCTAATTTGTACGTAATTAAATGACAATGCATTGTGTAAATATCTAATCATTAGAATTACCACTGTAATCAGAAATGTATAAAAGCGTGTTAGACTCGAATATTTTTAAAGAGGATTTTTAGACCTTGCCATTAATAATTACAAAGTAATGAAATAAAATTTAACAGATCAATTGCAAATGTATAGTGTTTTTAATTCACGAGCAAACTATTTATCTTGTGTATTAGTTTTTATTTTTATCTTAGCACAATTTTCTCGTGCCCATATTTTTACATCGTTGTTTTACTGTTTAGGTTAAATTTTTTTGAGTTAAACTCGCATGCCCTTTTTCTTGCTACGCTCCTAATTTATTGAAAAAATTATATTCCTCGTGTTTTAAGTGAATCTAAGCGGCCAAGCGATTCGTAAAACGGTGGAAAAAAGTATTTATTGTAAACGTAAACTTATAGTAATGAAATTATTGGCAGTTTTTTTTTAATTATATATCAAATAGTCGCAAGACAATTGAGTGAATGTTGTAATATAAGGCTTTATTATAAGGATAATTCGTAGGCCGACCGATTTTTTTCGATGGAACAAAAGTTAGGATTCCACAATCGACATTTTGAAAGACTGACGAACGAAGATTTTGTACGACACTTGAATTTTCTACTTTGGACCCGTTGAATTCTAGCGAGTACAATAGTTACAGAGACAGATATTGTATACATAATTATAAATACATTAAAATATTGCTTCGAAGAGTTTTTCGTTTTCTTTTACAATTTCCACCCATTTTTTTTTTCTTTTTACGGCAAACTAGATACAAATTGAGATACCATTGGCACAGTAGCTTAACTATGGGCTACGGACTTGCATATCGTGTGAAACTATTCATTTACAAAAGAGAAGTATATCTAAGTATGTTTATCAGTTACCTAGTATGAGATTTGCTTAGTTCGGGACGAGAACGTTTTGTAAAAATGTCTTAATATTTATTAGTAGTACCTAAAAACAATTTCGATTGGTCGTCAATATATTTATCTCTTTCTTGTCGTAATACCTTATCTAACAGAGGGGTAGTCTAAAACAAACACTTGACGTTGATTATTAAAACAATTTATTACGAAATCACCCATACAAAACTTGCCCTGGTGAGTATTGGTAAAATATTCAACAAGTTACATCGTTTGCTTATCATATCATTATTTCTAAACTTGAGGTGGATTATAATAACAATTTATTACGAAATCACCCATCCAAAACTGGTGAGTATTGATAAAAATATTCAACAAGTTCTCGTATATATATTAGTTAGAAAATTTGACCTTTGTCATTTCTTTGGGAAACTCCTCCACATCTCTTTCGGTATCGGCCTTCGCAGACTCTGGTATACCGGAGTGAGGACCAGAGGCTTCTCGGAGGTTGGGGAGGGGCTCTGCTTGACGTCTATCACCCTCACTGCTGGCTCATTCGTCGCGTCGAAGATGCCGAAGTTGAACCTATGTATATCACCGACGAAGAAATTCTTTGTTCTTTTTTTAAAAAAAAAACCTAGCCCTTACCTTAAGGATAACATTATCCTGTGTTGCAAGGACGTTTTACATACATAAATTTCACGTGGACAAACACCCAGATGCCAAACAACTATCTATGGGTCACACAAATAGTTGTCCCGTGTGGGAATCGAACCCACGACCCCCGAAGCCGAAGCCAACAGCTTGGCAACTGCGCCACGGAAGTTCGATAAGCGTAAAACCAACCTGTAACGGGGATTGTCCTCTGTCCTTTGCGGGTGCCGATCTAAATGTGGCACATGGCCAGGGAGGAACACGTGCTGGTAGCGACTGAGCAGCCCCTCCAAGGTGGAGTTTGAGATCTTCTCGTAACCGGGCAACGTTTGCGTCAGTTCCGCGAACATTCGACTGCAGTAGGCGCCTTGTCTTCTCTTCGACGCCGGGCAAGTCTGAAGGTGGGCAAAGCATTATAAATCGTTGCGTCTTGGTCGATCAAGAGCATATAACACATACAAATCAAGAAGGGCGCATTTTAGGAAGAGACTAGCTAAGTCTATCGTTTATTTAGGACCACGGAGAGGACACTAAAATGATGACTTGAAACCTTTCAATTTCAATAACCACTGCTTATAGCCACTGCAAGTTACATATTGATTCGGATAAATACACGCTTGTAACTACCAACTTGCATTTTCGTAAACTCCCTGTAGGCATCTCTATAATTTCCCATCTCCAAAATTTAGACCCACGAGGCTTGAAGAGTTCCTTGTCTGATCTCACCGTTCTACAGTATTGAGTATTGATATATCGAGTATTGGCGATTCACAGCACTCCTAGCCCATTAAAAGATGATTTCTAAAAAGAAAAATAATTAACAAAATCCGCACAATTCCGAATCCCAAATTCGAACGTAAAGTCGACTACATTGGGAGCTCGGTCGGTCCCATAAAGAAACTTAACGGTTGCTCCTTTTCTCACCTCTGTCAGTTCTTAAAGAGACAAAACTCACCGCCAACATAGTGTCTAGTACGTTGAGCAGTTTCTGCGGCGAGCCGCACTGGTCGCGGTACAGAGGCGTGGAGCTGTAGGCGGCCGTGTAGAAGGGGCGCATCGGGTGCCAAGGGCCCTGGCAGAACTGGCGCAGCCGCTCCTTGGCCTTGAAGTAGTCCATGAACTCGTACTTGTTGAGGACGCCCATCTTCCGCATGAGGCACGTCGTCGCCGGCGTCTCCCCCCTGCACTAAGTGTCCGAGCACTGTTAGCGGACTAACCACAGAGTATAGAAACATCAAATGGAGCACTAGTACCGTGATCAGTCATGAACTAATGTGTTTTTTTATGTGAACAGTTGCCAAGCGAAGAGGTGGTTCACATGATGTTAAGTGAATACCGCCGCCCATGGACATCTGCTACACCCGAGGTTTTACAGATGCGTTGACAACCTTTTGAAAATTGGGCTCCGGCTACCTCACTCACCAGGCGAAACGCGGAGGTATTATACTTCCACTTTACGGCGGTCTTCTGTGAGGTCGCAGTACTCACCCGGACGAGCCTGCCCATTCGTGCAACAGGCGAGGCTGCTGCGTGGTCCTACCGCCGTAAAAATGTTTATCAATGCATGGTTTTATTTTGAAGAGTATCGATAAATTTCAATCTACTTCGCTGACTTAAATTTAAACAAATTTTCAATAGACGGCATTTTAATACATTTTTAAAGACATTTTTAAACGCGTTTTTAACAACTTTTGCGTTTTATTTGAAAAAAATTAAATCGATTGTAATTATGATTATGTTTGTATAACGTCCTTACAACACAGGATAATGTTATCCTACACTAAGCGTAATACATATATAACAAAATAAATTATCAGGTACTTAAATTAACGCAGTAACATCCGTAGAAAAAGTTTCAAATTATTGATAAACTCCCACTTACCGTTCTGCTGTCCGTCCATCCGTGTTTGATTTTCGGATTCTCGGGCGCGTTTTCTAGTTGCATGATCGAATCAACGCCGCACTCTCTCAGTACCGTGCGATCAACGAAATCAGGTACGTTGCATAGCCGACGTCTGTTTCGCTAAAAGTTAGGTTGTGAAAAGTAAGTCGGTCAAGGCGGATAATATCGAATGCAAACTTAAAACTGGCACCGTGAATAGTTTGCATTTGTGAATTGTCAGCGTATTCACGATTTGTAAAGATATAAGCTCTCATTTACGACCCTTATCTACAACTAGCTCTCATTTACAACAATAAACGTCCCCTTTGTTATCTAAAAGCTCTTTTAAACGAACACCTTATTTGATAATTAAGAATGAAATTATTTCACACTTACCGGTCTGAGTTTGACGAACTTATTTGACACGTTATGTTATTTTGCAAACCGCTCGAGTGTCTGCAAGAGGAAAATACATTTTTGAGTGTTTTTGTTGGAAAATATTTACACACGAACAACATCTACTGTTACCACAAGTTTGGTAACGTGCTGGGATCGAACCGTACGGCGCAGTTTATAAGCACTATTTTCATTTATTTATTTTTATTTAAAAATTTATTGTTTACACCCCAAAATAAGGCCAAACAAAATGCAAACTTAATGCTAATAAGCATTCTCTTCCAGTCAACCCTGGGAGTAGTTACAAATTTAACGTAGGTGCAAAACTATTATTGGTTATATAAATAATTTTCATCAAGGAAATAAATTTTACTTCTCAAGTCGATGGCTAAATGCCATTAGGGATGAAGAGAGATAATGACAAATCTACAGTAGATAAGATAGGTTTATACATAGTTATTATGTATTTGTTTATATATTTGGAAAATCTCACTTGCACGGGTCTTCCTTCTTAGCATCTGGGCAATTCTGAAAACAAATAAATATTTATATGAACTTTGACTTTTAAAGTTTAAACAACTACAGTGTACATGATATATCCTGGGAGTATATTAGTCAAAATTTGTGACTGAACTAAAATTTCCATCGCCTGTGTTAATATCGTCTGTAATAATACTCTAGTAGTATCTTATATCACCTACGTTTCGCAGAATCTGTTTAGTCTGTAATGTGGCAAATGATAAAGCAGTCGTCTTGCTCTGGAATCAAAAATATGAGACTGCGATCTTTGCAAAAAAGAATGGTAAAACTAGCTTGGACACTACTCTACAATAAAAACCTGGATGATTTAACTTACAATAGACTTCTAAAACAGAGAAAAAGTTTTAGACGAATCCCACGAGAACAGAGCACTTTTGAGAGAAAAACCTGGTCCGTTGATAGGTGAAAAATTACAAACGGACAGACACATTTCCTCATAATATATAGACAATATAAAGAAGACATAAAAATTACGGGGAAGAGCTAAACAGCGGGTGCTGCCGTTCAACGAATCGGCGGACTCATCTGAGGAAGTAACAGGACATTATACAAAACCGTAACTTGGAGTATGTTACACTTTCGCATTTTGGCCGGTGAGTGAGGTAACCGGGGCCCACTTTAGAAAGTTGTCAAGGTATGTACAATCCATCAGGTGCTGTAGATATGTCCATCCGCGGCGGTAATCACTTAACATCAGGTGAAACACTTGCTCGCTTGACAACTTTACACATAAAAAAAGAAACAGTGTCTAAGTGGCACCCGGCTATTATATCATTATTCATGACTATACACAGGAACCGACACTCGGTATTTCAGGGACCAAGCTTGGTTACCGTTAAGGACCCTGTATACCAACATCATAAGCTTTAGGTTTTTAAAATTTGATGTTACATTAGTGCAACGATGTTATCTCAAAGCCTGTACGTGAGCTCTGCAATCCCGTTGATGTCGGTCGTGTCACCATCAACGGCCTTTGCCCTGAAACGAACAGGTGGTCGATGCTTGACAGAGCTTACCTCCGTGAGAACATCGTACGTGCATGCGAGCAGCTGGCTGATCTCGCACTGGGCTTCGTAGGCCGCTGCGGATTTGAGGCACTTGGTGTGGACGCGGCCCTTGGCGCTGGTCCATCTAGGATCCGCCAGGGCCAGCGCGTCCAGCAGCCGCGAGAAGGCCAGCCGGTCCACCGCCCCGGACCCCGACACGACGCCCAGCTTGCCGAACACGCACGCCTCCCGCTCGCACTGGAAGCGTCCACTTCGTTTTCGAAAGTAACATTAACAGCCTATATATATATACATCGCACGTTTTTGTCAGGACGCTCTTTTTCGACTCTTACTAAAACAAGGGCCGACTCTGGCGTAGAAAGCTACACAACGTATACTTCGGTCTCTTTCACCTAAGTGGGATAACAGCAGGAGGATGATGTTTGAAAAATACGCAGGTTTCCTCACGATGTTTTTTTTTCCTCACCGAAAGCGGTACGATTTTGACGTCAGCTGCCCCCTTGACTCCCGCTGGCTCAGTGGTTGTCGGACCCTCGGTGACGGGATTCCGGTCGTGTATCAGCAATCGGTCGCGAGTATTCCAGGTTAAGCGGAAGCCACACTCCGCCCGCCATTCCGGCGCCACGAACCCTTCCAGGTCGCAGCAGTCCAGGGGATCGTTGACCTGCTGATAGACGCCGGTTACATTATCTCAAAGACAGCCACGGGAAAGTTCCACATGATCTGGGGATCGCTGGATAGAATATCCCAAACAGAGTCTGGCAACGCTCCACGTGGCAACCACCGACGTATGGTAAGTGTGGTAGGGCCACGCAGCAGCCTCCGCTGCTGCACTAATGGGCAGGCTCGTCCGGGTAAGTACCACGACCTCACAGAAGACCGGCGTAAAGTAGAAGAATAACACTTTTACGTGGGTCTGGTGAGAGAGGTGGCCAGAGCCCAATTTTCAAAAGCTTGTCAACGCATCTGCAACCCTCGGGTGTAGCAGATGTCCATGGATGGCGATTATCACTTAACATTACGTGAACCGCCTGCTCGCTTGGCAACTTTTCACAAAGGCCCCCAAATATAGTTTTTCTCAAATATCTTCCATGTACAGACAACGACAACAGTAACATTTTTATTACAAGTACAGATTACAAATTAGAATTCCCGCGGGACGTATAAGATTTTGGGAAGTATGAATACGAACGAACATATACAGCGCCAGCTATTTCTGTACGCTTCACCAGAGATAAGTCTTAACGCTTATCATGCTATTATGCCACCCAAGCGAAGTCTGCAGAATGTGAATCAAAATCAATTTTGACAAGGTTTTTAGGACCTGCCGTCTGCCTGAGCGTTGACAGCGTAAAAGAAACGATACCATAAACAATTCACTTACTTCGTTCACCTCTTTGCCGACGAAATTACCAGTCTTAGTAGAATCTACGGTCTTCGGTTTCTCGTTTTCCGATGACGGTACGAAGTGCGACGCACGCGCCCTCTGCTGATTGGAAATTACGGACTGAAAATTGAAGATCATGATATAAAAAAACGTTTTAGATTTTATGGCGTTAGGTCTCTTAAGATATGTAGACAAATTGACGAAAACTCGAACCTATAGCCCGTAAGCGTCCATAGGTACTAACATAAAATTTAATTATAAAGTCTAATCTATATATGAATACGAGAAGTAAAAACTTTGTACCTCTTTTTACGAAAATTGCGCTGGCGGAGTGTGAAATTTCCCACACTTACAGGTTATATAGAGAAGGAGTGCATAATGCTAATATTTTTTTTAATTATGAATACAAAACATTAAATCAATAATTAACTAGCGACCCGCCCCGTCTTCGCGCGGGTGCAAAGTTATTATAAATATAAACCATCCTCTTGAATCATTCTATCTAGTAAAAGAACACCACTTCAAGATCTGTTGCGTAGTTTTAAAGATCTAAGTGTACATGGGGACAGACAGACAGCGGGACGACTTTTATACTATATAGTGATTATGTTTGAATTTCGACCACTAGTTATAATAATTATTTCTATTTTCGTTAATGATGATTTAATCCGTGTTCAAGCGCCTACAGTATATTAATAGCAAGCTGATTGAAGGCAACTGTAGGCGCTTGAACAATCCAATCCGATCATACTTTTTTCGAAAATGTCGACTTACATCTCGGTTGAACTTCAATTGCGAATCCAGCTGTGCGTCGTGAATGTGGTACAACATGAACGACTCGAAACCGCACTCTTGCAGGACAGTCGCGTTGAAAAAGTCCGGCAGCTGGCAGCAGTTGGCGCTGAAGTACTGTCGAAGGGAAAATGAAAAAGCGGATACGTTACTCAAAACAGTTACCCTTATTATTGGAAAAATAAATGTTCCAAGTGCGGTTCGTAAAACAGTTTCCATCATAAACTTTAAAAAAAATAAATGAACAAAAAAGATACTATTATAAAAAATAAAAATACGTTGAAAAATTAAGTATGCATATGCATAAAACGTATACATATGCTTGTAGTGTACATCAATTATACATAAATAAATAAAACGATTACCTATTTTTGGTTTTCCGGTATGCGATATCTGCACACAATTATATTTACTTAATTATCACTTAATTTGATTTCAAATCAATTCTAAATCACATTATTTTCCAGGATGTTCCAAATTTATGATACTTTTTCCCTACGTCTGTCGTTATTTGTAATAAAAAATTCTTTCAAACTTACGTTTTGTAAAAACCATGCGGGTCGACGCTCCAACGGTATGTTTCCTTGTAGGTTTGCATATCGACTGAAACAATAATTGTTTTTAATTAAATCTTGTCCGTCTCTTTCGACGTTTCTTAGGGGTGCTCAACAATATATGGTGCTGCCACAGTAGACTTACTAGGCTACTGTGGTAGGTTATGACTTGGTATATTTGATTTTATATTTTTTTTTATGTGAAAAGCTTTTTCTTTTTTACATTTGATATGATAATATATTTTTTTATGTGAAAAGTTGCCAAGCGAGCTGACGGTTCACCTGATGTTAAGTGAATACCGCCGCCCATGGACATCTGCGACACCCGAGGGTTACAGATGCGTTGACAACCTTTTCAAAATTGGACTCCGGCTAACTCACATACCAGACGAAAGGCGAAAGTATTTGTAATACTTCCACTTTACGCCGGTCTTCTGTGAGGTCGTGGTACTTACCCGAACGAGCCTGCCCAATCGTGCAACAGCCGAGGCTGCTGCGTGGCCTTACCACCGTATAAACAAAGTAGGTAGATATGACACTAGGGCACCAAAACTGAGGCACTCAAATCACACTAATTGGTGCGGTTAGATTTCAATTATACAGCGTGTCGTTACAACCGCGACAATAAATGAACACACATATAGAGGATAACTTTTTAAAGTTGTATTAAACATTTAAATTCTCTTAAACATCAATATTTACAGAGTTATTAAATTTTCCAAAACAAAGAATTTTAGAACACCCTTACCTATAAAAGCGTAACGTAAAGTTCATTTGTAAAGGTCACAAAGCATATGAATGGGTTGAATGAATTTAAAAGAGACAAAACATACTGTTAGAAGGAGAGGCTTGTATTGCGACGCTGTGGCGCGAGTTGTATAGGATGTTACAAATTTCTGTTTCTTTTTTACTTAATTAGTTTGTTTGAAAAATATTTTTTTTAATTATGGATTTTGTTTAACGTTAATATTTTTTTATGATTATTGGCAAGTAGCGTTAGACGTGTGTTCATTTATTGTCGCGTTGGTAACGACACGCTGTATAGAGTGATATTTCTTCCCGTATCATACGTTCTATATCATCTGTCACATTCACTTCTATATGTCATATAATGTAAAACGGAACAAGTTTAAAATGCCACGCAGTTAGGACATGCGTCGACTTTATTAAAACATCATCGAGACATAGATTTTGATTTACTTGAATGATGTACTCCTTACCTCTGAAAGAACATATATTTGTTGGCTGCGAGAGACGAAACGGGGGCGCAGCCATCTCCTTTCCACAATTTGTCACCGGGACAGTTCTGAAAGCGAGAAATTGAATGATTATTTCGGTATAATCGAAACCCTGACTTCATCACCCCGTTGTTAATATTGTAAAAGTAAATGCAGATAGGAAATATTTATAAATATTTAGTGCAAACAAAGGAAATGTAAAAGCTTCTAATACATATACGTCATCGAAAAGGTTCTGAGCAAATGAAATTATTTATAAATATCTAAATAACTAAGAGCTCAGTGTCCGGGCGCTCGCCTTTAATTCAATATACTCGAGCAACCCGAGTTCGGTCCCCGGTGCCGGCACCAATGAAATTGTTAATTTCAAGTGCTGAATTATAACGTTCTCATAGGCGAAGGAAAACATAGTGAGGAAACCTGCATATTTTCGAAATAATAATAAAAAAAAATATTTCGAAGACATGTGAAATCCGCCAATCCGCAGTGGGGCAGCGTGGTGCACTATGCCCTGATACCCTCTATACAGAGGAGAGAGAGATATTTCCCAGCAATGGGACATGTATAGGCTGATACTTTATCTGAATAACAAACAGCGTTCACACCAAAGAAACAAACCTTCTCTTCTATTTTGAAAACGAAGACAGATATGTCTCCGATTGGATGTAAGCAAAATATGTAACAATTCTTACCGCTATCAAATTGTCGACGACGCAGTGCATCAGCGCTTGACCGGGGCAAGTGTTCGTGTATCTCCTGCTTCGATTAGAGTAGCAAACGTCCAGGGCTCTGTTGCTGACATCCCTCCACTCCGCTGGCAGTATGGAGTTCAGGACGCCGGCATATCGTTCCCTCGTAGGGAGCGAGTCTTCCAGACCAAGCTTCACGTTCAAGCAGTTCCATTGGTGGCACTGCGGAGGAATAATCGAAGCTATAGAGGTATTCCTCAGAAAACTGCTGACCTGGTTTAAAAATATTACGGTTTCTGATTTAAATAAGAGGAATTTTGAGAAATGCTCTCGTATGAACCTAATTGAATAAAACAATCGTCGGTTATAAGGCAAGCCATAGCAAGACGATCTTCGTAGGACCATCTGCGCTGAGTCAATTTATAGACTTTAGGCCCAGTTTTACAATTTGGAATTTTAATCAACACTTATTATTACAAATATTTAAGTAAAATACTATTTGCTTACCAAACGAGAATTTCTCAGATACGAAGTACCGAAACCAGCTTGCGCTAAAGCCTGAAACATCGTTAAATTTTTCACAAGCTTTCGAATTTTACAACCATTGCCTACTTTCTTAATGGCACATGACGCTTCTAGACAGGGTCCTGACAGGGTCAAGCCTGATCCCGAAATAACCAAAGCCAATTCCTGTGTATAGTCATGAATAATAACATAAAAGCTAATTGCAACTTAGTTACAAGTATTTTTTTTTTCATCTTAAAAGTTGGCAACCGAGCAGGCGAATCCACTTGACAATAAATGATACCGCCGCGGCTACTAACAACGACTATTATAGTCGTTAAAAGTAAAGTAAAGTATCAACCTATACTTTACTTTATTTATTTATTAACAAAACCTTACACTATTATTACAGGTACTTAACCTAATACAATAGTGCGGCAATCTACAACATAAAGAAAAACTACTTATTTACTATATCCACTACAAATTAACAATGCAACCTTTTTGAATTCACTCAGAGAACACAGGAATAAATCTATATCCCTGGCAATCATATTTAAAGTCCGTAGTGCACGCGTCCACGGCGCCTCATTCAATAACTGGGAGCGCCCTTGCGGTACCACAAACAGCTGTGATCCGCGCCGCCGCCAAATGAAATTATTCGGAACGCACAAGTACAGTACGCACAATACATGTCCCACTGCTGGGCAAAGGCCTCCTCTGTACAGAGTCAGAGGGTGGGCATAGTCAACCACGCGGCCCCACTGCGGATTGGCGGACTCACATATCTTCATAATATATATTTTTTTGTTATTATTTCGAAAATATGCAGATTTCCTCGCGATGTTTTCCTTCACCGCTGAGCACGTGATAATCAGCACTTGACAATTGACAATTTCATTGGTGCTGGCACCGGGGATCGAACTCGGGTTGCTCGAGTAAATTAAATTAAAGTCGAGTCTGAGCACTCTGAGCTATCACGGCTCGTTATTAGTTTTTAATTTCATTTTTTGTTTGAAAAGCTGAATTTCCACTAGCTTGATAGAACTAGACTACACTAGAAGGAACATTAACAAAAAAAACGAGATGGCCGGCTACGGGCGGATCGTGACATCTATGACTGTCGTATGCTTTATTTTTTTTTATTTTTTTTTTAAACATTGCCCTCACTTTAGGATAACATTATCCTGTGTTGTAAGGACGTTTTACAAACATAAATTACACGAGGACAAACACCCAGATGCGAAACAACTATCTGTGGGTCGCACAAATAGTTGTCCCGTGTGGGAATCGAACCCACGACCCCCGACGCCGAAGCCAATAATTTGGCAACTGCGCCACGGAGTCACTTCTCACGTCACGTCTTTATACTTTCATTGTGAGCGGTGAGAACCCTTTTACTGTGGTAGGGCCACACAGCAGCCTCGGGCTATTGCACAAATGGGCAGGCTCGTCCGGATTAGTACCACGACCTCACAGAAGACCGGCGTGGAAGTATAATACTTTCGCCTTTCGTCTGGTGAGTGAGGTAGCGGGAGCTCAATTTTCAAAAGGTTGTCAACGCAACCCTCGGGTGTAGCTGATGTCCATGGCTCGCTTGGCAACTTTTCACATAAAAAACCCTGGTTCCAGTTGTCTCTTAAAAATGTGCTATTTTTTTATAAAGGTTACAATAGAACAATATACCTACCTTCCTTAGGATTACTAACAATAGACGATACTGCGCCGTGCGCGTTTCTTGAGATCATTGTTATGCTGTTATCGACATACTTATATAAATAAATACCTTATATCGATACATACAAAAAGATGAAAAAAATTATTATCGGAGACATCATAAACCTATTTAAACTCCTGCGTACTGGAATAATGGGTTTCATTAACTATGTATAGGTAATCAACGTTATGTGTAATGTGTTCAAATGTATATTCGTTCAGGTAAAATTAAAAGAATGATAGAGTTCGTAACGGTAAAAGTTTCCTCCTTCAGACATAGGTCAATGAAAAAAAATTAAATACGGAAAAATTATAGGCTGTGTCCATAACTAATTTATTAACATAACTGAACAGACAACATAACTAATATTAACATGACACATGTTTATGAGTCACAATACGTCAAATCAAATAAAATCATTTATTCATCGAAATATGAAATATACATTTCGTCTGTCGATAGTCCGTTTTGTAATGAGGTTCATCTAACGGAGAAAAAACAGGCGAAAGAAACTCCGTAGGTATCCTTTTTAATAGATAATTTCGTTAGCTAATTACGAAACGTACTTTACCATATATGTCGACAAAATAGTGTTAGTTGTTATATCTGTTAAAACAGTTATAACTTCTTATCCAATCGAAATAAATCTGTTTGATTCCATACATGGCTGTGCCATCTAAGATATCTTTGTTTTCCCTTCACGGAAAAATGTTTCTTTATAAAGTTGAATATCGATAAATCTCAAAAATAATTGATCAAAGTTCCGCAATAAATAGTACAAATTTAATGTCGAATTTTGTGTTGTATAGATTATTAGTTGATGTTAATTATTGAAATTACACTTACGCAGTTAAAGAAAGCACACAGCCACAGTATACGCATCCCCACTGTCAGAAGGTTCAAGAATTACTGTCTTACTTTGATAAAGACGTCACGTTTGTTCTCGGGTCACAGTGTTCGCGATAACTCTTCAACTGCGGATAAAAAAAATGGATGCCAATTATGCTCTTGCTAATTATCAATTGTATTTTTGTAAAAAATATATCTAGGTACTCATATTTAACGTCAGATTACATGCTGCCGGGACGTGTTGCGTTTTAAGCCAGGCTTATAAATACCAGATGAATTTTTTATTCAAATCAGGCAATACAGCCAAAAGTGCTGAAAAGATCGACCGATCGCCGACGCACATCACACAATTTAGGCGTTAACTAGTAATGCGTTTCCGTAATTCAATTTCTGCAACAAAGAAAATTTTACTCCAAATTTGGAAAGCCATCGAATTGATATCCAATTATATTTACAAAACTTAAAATGGCATTATATATTAAAGGATAACATTTTCCTTATGATAGAAAGGTTTAACGTACATAGCCGAGGCTTTGCCTTTGTAACTTACAAATTTTTTCTTCACCCAGGACCGAACTTACGGCCCGCTCCGTCGCATTCTGATGCCTCATGACTGCAGTTGCACGAACATGGCGATTATGGCGGCTTTTTTTTTCTTTGTCTGGGTGAGCCACTGTTGACCTTAGGGGCCTTTAGAGTTCCGACGGGCTTGAGGTAGCCTGGCGCACGAGGCGCCTAGCCTGAACCTCGGCGTATGATGTGTAATAGATTATAAGCTATTTTGTTTTTTGATATTTCTTATTGTCACTTACTTTTTGAATTTATGGGGAAGATGTTGAGGGTATTAAAAAATAAAGTAGTTGTCATTCTACAAGGCGTTTCAATAACACAACAATATTTTGATCTTATTATCTTTATTATTAGTTCGTAATATCTTTCCCAATTATTCTTCGCTGAACAATACCGTTACAAAGGTTTAAACAGTTAAAAGCAAACACAAAATAAATATATGCCTATCTTTCTGTAAAATTTAGACCGACAATTCCGTGACCACATCACTTTGCAAACTTGCTTATCATTATTGTATCTATATATACCCACAGGAGTACATACATATCTTTTTTTATTAATGATAGGTAGCTAATAGTCTTTAGTTAGTAGAATCAGATTTTTTCAATCGTCTCACTTTTTATGCGGTATTTCATTAGATACCTATCTACCTAGCTTGCTTTGCAATAAGTAAAATATGTATTATATTTTATTTCTTTACTGCCCAAGATTTGCATGGTTAGACCAATCTAAAATACGGTAGGTTAAATTTTCTTTCAAACTTCAAATACATCACAAACAAACATACAGCCGCAATATTAAAACCTTGTAATATAAGTAGGTGGCAATTTATTACTTTTTTTTTACGCGACAAGGTGGCAAACGAGCTGGCATTTCTCCGGATGTTAAGTGATAACCGCCGCCCATGGACATTTGCAACACTCGTAGGGGTTACAGATGCTTTGCCACCTTTTAATAAACTGGGCTACCGCCTTACCAGACGAAACACAGAAGTATAATACTTCAACTTCACGCAAGTCTTCTGTAAAGTCGTATTTACCTGACCATAAATGTAAGAGTAATTATAGAGACATTGCCCATCTCAAATTGTTTCGTAAATGTACCACGAAATTATAATAATACCAAAACACATTATCCATGTCTATTAATATAGCAGACTATTTTAGTTTTAACGCCAACACGATTCTAAAAATATTTTATAATTTATGAGTATAGGAAATATTTATCTAATATAAAATTCTCGTGTCACGGTGTTTGTAATTGAATTGAATCCGAAACGGCTCGACCGATTTTTAAGTTGGTAAATGTAAATAACTTTAACTCCGGCGTAATTCAAATCAAATAAATTTTAAACGATAGAGAAAAATCTCTAATGAATCAATCAACAAGCAGAATTCGGTCACTTATAGTTTTCGAGAAAAAAATATGTAAAACTTGTTTTTTGTACTAAGAAATCCACCATTTTATTTGTTTTACTTCAAAAACTCAATACACAGTTCTGCCAACATGATAAATATAGGAAGCGGGCGACATCGTACACGTATCGATATTCCGATTTTTTTTTAATTTAATGAGTCACAGAACCGACACAGAGCGAATCCGACTCGGATAGATTAGGTTATAAGGTTCAGGCGGGTTACCTTCGATGTTAGGTTTTTTTTTATGACCACCAAGAAATACCAGCTGAATTGACATATTGACAACAAAAAAATGGCGGATTTCTATAGTAAAATCACACTATTTCATTATTTATTTTTTCGAAAACTATAAGCGACCGCCGAATTCTGCTTGTTGATAAATTCATAAGTGATTTTTCTCTATCGTTTAAAATTTATTTGATTTGAATTACGCCGGAGTTAAAGTTATTTACATTTACCTTTAAAGAACAATGCCCACTTCCCATACATTTAAAAACCTGATAATGAAAGTGTATGTATAGTTACAAGGTATAGCAGAAAGACTACCTTTAAGTTAGTAAATTAATATCATGTAGTCATTTTTACAATTGCTGGTCTACGAAGTCCAAAAATTATAAAAAAATGTTACTTTTTAGGTTAGGATTTGCAGTTACCTAATATAACGAAATAAATGTGCTAGAACTAACTATTTACGCTCAAGTTTATCCTAAAATAATAATATTAGCCTATCTAAGGTCTAAAACTTCTTTTTTACTTGTGAATTCTTCTTCTTCTTTTCTTTTTTGGCGGTTTTCAATGAATACGCCAATGAACACTTCTGGTTGTTTATTTTTGCCTAACTTTTATAATGAAATGATGAAGAGAATGATTTTATGAATGTTAAATATGTATATTTTTATATATAGAATATCTAAACAAATTTACATAATTATAGCAATTACCTAGAACAAAGAAAATAAGATTGTAATTATTATACTTGTGAATTCCTAGAAACCGACTGCCCTTACGTCACTGCTTAGACTCGATTATTGACACTATAAATTGAGTGAAGAGCATTATCTGCTGTTTCAACAGCTCACATAAGTACATACTAAAAAAACGTAAGTTAAAAGTGATCATTTATCTGCCCTACACATTTCATTGGCCTGCACTACAATACATAATAATCGATAATTATAATACCTGATGAATAAAACGGGGGAAAAAATAAAACACTATGTTACAGTGGAATGCTTTATTAATTATCATCATCTTCACTTAAATGTCTTATAACTATGTTATCCAGAAATTCTGCTATAACAGAGATATTTTCTTGATAGTTCATCCGAAGTACCACACTAGCCATAACATGAGTGCAACATCCTATGGTTCGCCAACCAACTAAACAATTACAACAGTATTCGACTATACTAGCTCTGCCAGACACATTATTTTCTATTAAAATGTAGACATTATATTGTTTTCTTTAAATGTGCCAGGACTTAATTTTTCCTCGTATTAGTGTTCTGTCACCACTTCCTCTCAGATTATTCCTAGAAAACTTCTGTGTCCCTACATATTTCTATTCTATATGATCCATGAAAGCGAATATGTTCGCCATAATAGGATTTGGCTTGCCTTATTTGGTACTTAATGCAAATAGTATAAGTTCACTAATAACTTAATCTCAGAAAAACATAAAAAATAAATTATCTTCAGTAGTAGAAACACCACAAACTTCAGCAACATGCCTAATATGTGTGGCAGCACTCTTACAACTCATCCAGCATGAATGGCATATTCTATCAGATGATGATATCTACAAAAGAAAACTATCTACAAAGTAATAAAGCAATAATTATTATTCATCTTAAAAAAATATTTAAAAAAAAAAAACAATTATATATTTATTTGTGGTTAAAATTATTACAGCAGCAGTCAATTAATAACAGATATAATAATTTACATCTAAAATACAAAAGAGAAATAATCTAGAGTAATAGTATCAAGTTTTATACTGGCAAATGATTAACAATGTAGAAACATGAATATGTGATGTTGTGAACTTGTTTGTATAATAGCATTTATCTGTCTTTGCTTTTCTGAAGGATTATCAAAAACTGTGTTCTTCGACTTGGTTGAGATAATCCTGAGCTTGAGCAAGATCACAGCTTGTTAATTCCTGGTTTACTCTTCTCATAAAGAGTTCATTACAAGATTTACAAATGTAATCTTCCTCAGTAATCTGAAATAAAAAAACGTATATTGAGTTTATAATACATATTTTGGATATATAGATCTTTTGAACAGTTGTTTGTATTATGTCACAGGTATAATTTATATGAGCTTTGTTAGTTTCATTAGGACATGATTGACATTTTTAGATTAAAAATAATAAACATAAATACTCACAATTACTGGCGAATACCGATGAGTATGAGTCACTCGCAGAACTGTCAAATGTCAAAAAAAATCCATTTACGTCAGCCGTGCGAACTTTATTACACGCTGCATTAATAATTTACTATTTTATTTTTAATAAATATGTACTACTAATAAGATTGATCTTAATTTTTATACAAATACTGTTAATTACGTGCTTACTCACTTCTCTAAAACGTAAAATCACGTACAAAACTCATAAAAAGTTGAATATAGTCAAGTAGATAGTGTGAAAAATGGAACGTCCTATGCAAAGGATTGCTAAGGTGCGTTCAAAACATGGTAATATGTTTACCCTTGAAGTAAAATAAGCGTAAAGAAATATCAAAAAATATTTTTTTTACCCGACCTTCTTTTAACATTGTGATTAGTGTAATTACTATAAAATGAAATTAGCTAAATTTTAATATTTATTTCACTTCTATACATAATCAGGTCAAAAATGGGCATTGTTCTTTGTGTGCATATCGGCCATGGTGGAGAATCGGATATCTATTTGTCATCCCCCTAAATGTTAAGGGTGGTCCACCTCAAACATTTTTTTCTACCCTACAAATAATTTATATGGTAAAACGTTTGCCGGGTCAACTAGTATATTCATAAAAATTTAACTAACGCTGAGCATATAAAACGCAAAACGTATGTGGTGTTTTTAACATATATGTTATTAAGGGACAGTATTCAGAATTGTGCATTTCGGCCAAATTTACAGCCTTTTTGTCAATTATCTTACGTTATTTTCGCATTTATAGTTGCTTTAATCCACAGTTATAGTAACAAAATTCGAGTTAAAAAAACGCAACAGTTCCAGAGAGAGGCAAATAATAAATAAAACGCAATACACCTAACATAATTTATTGGAAAGATCAATTCATTTATAGCCTGCTTACAGAATGAGCTACTTAGAAGAAACCATTAGCAATAAAGCGTGTTCGAGGCGTAATAAATACGGAGGCGTCGGTCTTCAAGCGTTCGCTAAACTGAAACGATTGTGTAATGACGTCACAACTTCGGTACAAAACAAAATTAAATTCATTTCCCATCAAATACAATAGAGCCGAAGCCAATGCATAAATTGATTTAAGAATTGTACCTGGAAAGAGAAGAAAATGTTTAGACTAGCTTGCTGGTTGCCCAAACCATTTCTCAAAATCGGTTCACGACTTTAGTAGTTTTGAGAGAACCAGGTAATGGACATAACATCATATTAATCTTTTTGGTAATTAATGGGTTAAAATTTCTAATTAAAAAACACTTGATCCATAATCAATTATCGCCTATGTTATTCGAGCATGTTGCTCTGCCACAGAACAGATTCAGAGGTTCCAGGTATACATATTATTGATAAACGTATCATCAAAAATCCAACTTTACTATGATTATAAATTGGGGGAGGCAGCAAAAATTCTACACTGCACTTTATCCCTTTTTTATGTTAGAAAGTGGCAGTTCAACTGATGTTAAGTGTCGGCCATGGACATTCGCAACACCTGTCGGGTTGCAGATGCATTTCCACCTTTAAATAAAGTGGGCCCAGGCACACTCACTAGACAAAACGCAGAAGTATAACATTTCTACTTAACTGGACAGACCAGCCCATTCATGCAGTAGCGAACACTCTTGCGTGGCGCTACCACAGTAAGGAGACATGTACAATTGTTATAAACATGTTATTATGTTTATAACAATTTTTATATTAAAACAAAGTGTGTAAAATAAAAATTATTGTAACCAATAAAAACAAACAAGTGTTAAATGTGGGAAGGAAAAGGCAGTAAAAACAAAATTAAGATTACCAACAAACCTAATTAGCCTAGAGTGAATGCAGTGATCAAAGGAACGCTCCAAAGCCGAAAGCGCGTTTAATACTATCAAAGTAATAGCGTTTCCAGTTTTCACGGGTCGTGTCCACTTCCGAAGTCGGTACTAAGTCCTGTTTCAATTTGACTAAAGTGTGGTCGTCCTGAAATTAACAAATGTGTGATATTAAAATAAAAGAAAGAGTGAAATGGTAGGATTATTGGATTCTATTGAATTTATTTTTACTATATACATATATTTATATAGTTTCTCACTTTACAAAATTTTTAATTTTACAGAATACATTTGTGTATACTTTTTTTTTAGTTTTTATTTTAAATTACAACAATATTAGAATGGCAGATACATTTCTATTTAATTTGATTTTGGGAAACATATTTGATGGTTGAGAAGTCGGACTTGTGAAGGACTTGCAAGTCACAGTCACATATCACTGACTCGTTTACAGGGATAGGCTCAGCTGCCGTATTTAAATATAATATGACAAAATCAGCTTGGTGACATGTGGATACCATTACCTATTTATCTTACCATATAAGAATTAAAATATGCATATGCATTTCTCATCAGATTTAAAATTTAGACACAAATTTTTTTAATGTGAGTACACACACAGGTTTTTAATGTGAGTACTGTAATTATTATTTTATGTTGACATATAATAAATGAATATAAAGAAAAAAGATTATTATTGTCTGCTTACCTTCTCCTCAATGTTGAAGGTGACCTCTGAGAAATGTTGTTCGGGCCATTGCTTGTATCTCCAGTACTGAACTATTTTCTTTCCGGGCACCAACTCTTTAAACTCCCCTGTGACATTACCTCCAAATAATGCAAACTTTCCACCCTTCTCCGCATCCATTTTCACATGACCCTGAGTAAAGGCGGTTACCATTTCTATCCTGGTCATTGCATTATAGAACTCGTCAGCTCGGCATTGGAAAGTCTCAGACAATTCAATTGTTTTAGTGTCCAATTTGCAACCAACTTGTTTCTTTTCTGCTGAAACAACTGGCTCCATATTTACCTTCTTATTAAAGCCACTTGTTATAGTTGAAACGCTATCTGGTTTCACTGTGGTCTCTCCCTTCTTGGGTAGAATTAGACCCTTAGAAAATTCTTGCTTCAAACTCCTCACATACTCCTCAAGTTGCTTGCGGATTTCAGCCTTTCCAACATTATGCATAAAAGCTTTCAATCTCTGTGCTTCTTCGCCACTGCCTTTAATGGTTACGGTCATCTGCAACAAGAAATCAAATTATTACAACTTGCATTAAATTATTACAAAATGAGATTTTTAGTTATAATTTAAAAATATATACATGTAGCTTAAATGAATAAATTAAATGACTTCAACACTTTTTTACCATAACATTTTGGAAATTATATTTTCATAATTATCAAATAATCATAAAATGAAGAAACTAAACTTTTTAATATTCATCTGCTCTAGTAAAGTAACATATACACTAAATGCTGTAAAAGTAAGGATAATACAAGGAAATATTAATAAAAGTTTATAATAGATTTCATAATTAGGCAAAGCTAATGAAAAAAAACGCCAGTTATGAGGTAAAGTAAAGCCTTAATAATATTGCTTGAAACAATTATGTCAATGTCAGACTTATAGTCACACAATTAAATATACTACTTACTTTTTTATCAGTATTATTGAATTAAACATGCCACTAATTTATGGAATATGTATGAAATGTTACTAAAATTCAAAAGATTTTCACTAAATAATATAAAAATAGTGTGCAAACTACTCGAATGTAAACAGTGCCATTGACTTTTGGAAACAAATCCATCAATTAAAGCTAAGCTATTATTTCAGTTGTTTAAATAAATAAAGAAGAAAGTCTTACATCCACTTCGCTGACGTCATTCTCCTCCGATAGATTCGGAATATGTACTTCGCCTTTAACCATGTCGTTACCGCCAGCGAGACGTCCCTCCCATTTCAGCTTAATGTCCCATTCATAGAAGAATATTAATTTTCCTTTCCTATTATTTGCCGATGCCTCACCTTCAACCTTTTCTACTTCTGTCACCTTGCAGTCCAGGCCATTCTGAGATATTTTTAAGTTATTCAATAATTCCTTAAGGCGATCCCGCGACCAAGGTCCCGCATTTTTTTCGGTCCAGTGCCAATTATTTACATTAGTAGCATCAGGTCGTTCTTCAACAATCCACCTAGGATCTCCTTCTCCCCATTTGGCCATTTTCTAAACACGAGGCTAGTGATATGCGATTTTTAACACTACGATTTCAAGGTAACGTTGCCTACTGGTAACAAAACTGACTGTCTTTGACAGTATTTACGGCTATTCACACAATGTAATGTCTTATTTAGCTAGCGGCTATAAGAACAAGAAACGTTTAAGAACTTCTAATGTTTGAATGCTGGCGTCGAAAATTGTAGACTTCGAGAAACGTCGCGCAATTCTCAAACACCACATAAGAGCACATCGGTTATAATAATATTTGACATCCCAAGTAATGTTACCATTACCACATCTTTCAAATACCATATCTAGAAGCCCAGATATGTTTGCAAAAGTTATTTCCATGTCTTCTTCCAAAGAGTTGAACTAAAAGAATCATTTAATATGGTGTTTGAAAACTCTGTATTTAAGGTTAAATAATATAACGACAAATTTTAAAAACACTAAGAATTGATACTTTTATTAATTTATAACTTATAAATATGTATCATATTTGCTTATATATGTATTTTCATTACCTTGTTGATTTTATACTTGCCTATTTGTTTGTAAAAATTCCAAGATTGGCAACACTTACATTTTCCGTATGTTTCTAGAAACCAGAGTACCAACCATAAGGCAAAAAAAATGTTACCGGATGTCAATCCAAACTTGTTTTATTTTACGCAGAATAATATAGACCTAAATAATAAGTAATTTTAAAAAGACGGAAAAATGTTCTTAAACTTAATATTGGTCTATAATCTTATTTTCCTGATATTGAATTTATACCTTGATGGCTCTTGCTTTGTGAAATTGGAATACAAAAAATCCAAGTCATTCCGCACAGAACGAGTCGGGCATCGGGGTTGCATCTTGTCACCAAAACTGTTTAACTTGTATGGAGAAAACATCACGAGAAAAGCCTAGGATGGATGTTATTCTGCTGAAGGAAATTGAAAAAAAAGCGGTCTTAAGATGAACCATCCGAAAACAAAAGAAATGGTGGTAGATAGAGCATAAATGCTCTCAATCACTGAAGTGGCGATGGGCCGGCCATATAGCTCGTAGAACTGATAACGGATGGGGAGGAAAGATTCTTGAGTAGTTACGTCGTACTGTCCACCGCGATTTAGAACGCTCCACTAGATGAAGCGACAAAGTTGATGGATGCAGGTGGCTCAAGATCATGCTTCGTCTGTATAGGAGGCCTACGTTCAGCAGTGTTCTAACATTTAAGGGCAGCTGTGCGGAATAAATCCGCCGTAGAACCTGCATGACTAAGAAAAATAATATTGCAAGGTATTATTGGAATTAAAATACTGGATATAAAATGCGTTCTGCTTCGGAGAGCAGGGAACAATTGGCCCCGATGGCATGCCTTTATACTTCGAAATTATTGTGAATCCATTTTAATTCTGTTTGAGGCAGTGATCCGCTCTCGAATGGACTTTATCGTGCAATATAATCCCGAAACTCTACTACATATTAAAAATTAAAAAGAAATGAATGTGTTCCTTAAATTGTTTACTTTATTTCTATTAAGCGCCTATTGGAGTTTGACGAAACATTATTCACAGTAAATGGTATTTGCTATTGATATCGATACTATTATTATTTAGATTCTATTTTAAATTATCTAATCTTTGTTCTTTCATATGATGTTTGCACTCTCAGTCTAAGTCAGTACTAATATTATTACAGTTAATAATCATTGACTGGCTGAAATCCAACATAGCATTGCGCATTTTTTGCATAAAGTACTTTAACGTCGATTACCTGTCGTCGAAGAGAGCTAGATTCTCAATTCTGATGGACTATTGGTGACTCGGAGGTTTAGCTTACTTTTTTGATAGGTCTAGGACGTTCATGACTAGGAACAATGCACTTTTATCTTGTTAATAGCTAAAGTTAACTCGTTGCGGAGCGAAAATGAAAACACACAAATGTTTTAATTTATAAATATAAATTGACCTGCGCCATCAAGCTTTAGACAGAACTCAAATAAATCCACAATTAGTGAAATGTATATGAAACTTCTACCCTTTACTATTGAACTCATACTATATAGTATCTAAACAGTGCATGGTTCTTCAATTACTACCATTAGTAACACTAATATACTTTAATAATGGACTGATAACATTTTATGGCCTAAGCTAGATGCAGCAAATGCAGTTTCAAGCTTTCGTGTATGTAATATCAGTACGATAAGCCAGCTCCAAGAAAATGCGACAACCATAAACCCGATACATTTATGCACAACGTTTTAAAACATGACACGAGTTGAATGCAGCAGACGAAGTTGTCCTTAATCTCAATACATTTATTCAAAACCTTTTTAACGCATCCCATTATTCTTTTGCATGCTGAACTCTGCTCAACTTTATTTGATCCCATACAACATTTTTGCTCGTTTATTTATTTCTGCAATCTACGACCACCGCCACTACTCTGTATTCACACGCTTCGTAAACATTGTTAAAATTTTTAGTCAGATTACCCTAAATATAATAAACCGTCCGAAAACGAATTCCAGTTAAAAACAATATTGATCTAAGCGAATGTACCTAAACCTAATAGGAACTACTAGTTCTACTTTCGTTTATATATATTTATAGCGAGTTCCTAAAAATACAAGGAAATGAAACTTAAGATGGGTATCCTTAAAAGAGTTTTTCTAATATCCTCCGATTTAGTTTAAAGCTTTAAAATATTATCGATTCGAAATAATCATTCATGTCTATGGATTTGAGCTTGAATGGTTTCCTTATTTAAAATACTGATAATTTTACTTTTGGTGAGGTGTAGTAAAAATACAGGTTTAGGTATTTTTATACTTTACTAAATACCAAAATTGATGACATCGGTTCCTTTGACGCCAATTTCAGTCAATTTATTGGTATTATTTGATGTAACATAAAAAAACGTCATAAAATACATTAAACAGTTTGGGTTTCAACGAATATTCCTTTAAACAAAAATGTGAAAAAAATGCTCTGATTTTGTTTAAATACGTTTATAGAGTCAATAGCACCTTGCTTTAAATCACTATTATGAATGCTTTTAAACACTTTTTTATGTCATATTCCCTTCAAAGATATTTTCAATATCAATTCATTGCCAACGTGAATTGAATACGACAGTCTTGATTGTATTCAGGAGAGTAATTGTGGGTCAACTCTCAGAAGCGGTTACGTCACATAATATATTGTTGCCCCGCGTGTCGAGATAGTTTTCTGTAACCCGTTGTATTAGTCTGAATGTACTCTATACTGTACTCTATATTATTACTATTTTAACCTCAATTTCTCCCATAATTTGGCGTTCGATCTATTACTACTTTTTTAATGTGAAAATTTGCCAAGCGAGCTGACGATTCACCTGATGTTAAGTGAACACCGCCGCCCATGGACATCTGCTACACCCGAGTGTTGCAGATGCGTTGACAACCTTTTGGAAATTGGGCTCCGGCCACCTCACTCACCAGACGAAACGCGAAAGTATTATACTTCCACTTTACGCCGGTCCTCTGTGAGGTCGTGGTACTTACCCGGACGAGCCTGCCCAACCGTGCAACAGCCGAGGCTGCTGCGTGGCCCTACCACCGAAAAAACTACTACTGATTAGGAAATTATTAGATTCCACAGTACTTCGCGTTGGATATACGTGCATATATATACTCTATATTTCAACACGACAAAAATCAACCACCACAATATTTCTCTTCTTCAAACTTTCTTTCAACAAATAATTTATTGCACAACCAATTTGTGCAACAAATTATTTTTAAGCAACCTGATAGTCTGGCAACGCTTTGGAAACTGCTCTGGTTTTGCTATTATCTTAGCACCTTAGTTACTTAAAATGTTCGTTATTTACCTAATTTAAATGAAAGATAATAGTCAAAAATTTGTATGTACCATTGTTTTTAAATTTTAAAAGTTGACCAAAGACTCATTACATCTCGTGTCCGCGCCTTTAATTGTTCAAGGTCATATATATTGGATATACGAAATCGGAACACATTGGCAGAATTGGCGAGAGATTGGCGCGTCTCCCAACGGGAACACGTGCGTTTTGGTCTCTCGTCAAAGCTGTCTTGGGAAATTTCTGTAAGCCTTCTTTTCCACCCCTGCACACGGAGGATGACTCGCTGGCCCATGCCGCGAAGGAGAAAGCCGATCTTCTGGGCTCTCTCTTCGCGTCCAACTCGACTTTGGATGACCGACGAAAATTACCACCAACAATCCCGCGTTGCGATGCTACGATGCCGGAGGTTCAATTTCGGCAAAGTGCAGGAGGCGCTTGCAGCCAGTCTGGACGTAGCGAAAGCCTTTGATCGGGTGTGGCACAAAGCACTTCTTTCGAAGCTGCCTTCCTATGGGCTTCCCGGGAAGTTATGCAACTGGATCACTAGCTTTTGGCAGATCGGAGCATCAAGGTCGTCGTCGACGGTGCATGCTCTGATCCTAAATTTGTCAATGCTGGTGTTCCACAAGGCTGCGTACTGTCCCCCACTTTGTTTCTTCTGCATATCAATGATATGTTGCAAATCAGCAGCGTTCATTGCTATGCGGATGATAGCACTGTGGATGTTTCGTACACAGGCCGTGCTAACATTTCTCGGGAAAACGTCTACGAGAGCGGGAACAAACTTGTGTCTGAAGTCGAGACTTTGTTAACAAAAGTCTCAGACTGGGGTCGACTAAATTTAGTCCAATTCAACCACGATAAGACACGAGTTTGCGCGTTAACCGCTAAAAAGTCCCCATTTGTCGTTACTCCTCATTTTGAGAACACTCCCCTGTCTGTCACAGCTAGTATCGGAATACTTGGCGTCGAAATCTCGAGCAATGTCCAGTTCTGCGGTCAATTGGAAAGTAAGGCCAAATTGGCCTCAAAGAAGCTCGGTGTGCTCAGCAAGGCGAGACAGTACTTCACGTCGGCTCAACGCCTAAACCTTTATAAGGCGCAAATTCGGCCCCACATGGAGTACTGCTCTCACCTCTGGGCGG